TCCCCGCGTGGATGGTCGAGAGAACAAGTCGCAAACCACTTCTTGTTGACCAGAAAAATGGTCTTCCCAAAAAGTGACTAAAAGTTCAGGAAGTTGGGAAGTGAGTTGAAGGGAAACAAACTGAAACACTTGCCATGTTAAAAAGGGGTGTCCCTTTTCTCTGTTGCCCAGGATGGGACCCTGCAAAGCTCGCTTTCAAGCAACCCAAGAGTCCCGTAGCTATGCTTCCCTTCCACATGCAACTGGCTGCGGAGGGTAGAGCCGGGTCTTGCCGCCGGGTCTTTACCACAAGAAGCTTAAAAGTCGTCCAACGCCCAACGTATTTACTCCCCTAATTAACGGAAGGAACCTCCCCAAAGAGGAGAATCCTCAAAAACATGGTGGCTGGGGTTCCATGTTGAACTGTGGGGACTTGATTCATGTTTAGCATCATAGTTGTAGCCAAGGGCTTGATAGAAGTTGTTGCCAAGTTTCAACCCCAGACCATGGTAGGAAGGAACTCATCCCTTGGTGCAGGTGGGATTCCCATGCTGATTGTTTTTTCGGCGTGTGCAGGGGTCCCTTTGGCACCACAGAAAGCGGCAACCTCAAGCCTAAAGCCCATGTGGGTGCGTCTCAAAACGGGAAAGACTCTCAAAGGTGCTTTCCTTCCTAAACAAAACTAAACAGGGTGCCCAAACCTTCCCTGGTGGCATTCGCAGCCGTTCCGGAACCCTCGCCCACAGCTGATCCCATCCAAAGGCCACTCTGTCCATCTGGGAAAAGCGGCTTCGCCTTCGGAGCTTTCAGCCGGGGAAAAAAAAATTCGAAAAAATCGACACCGACACCGGCGCCACCCACCAAAAATCTTTCCGCGCCGAAAATTTCCGCGGGAGCCCCGGGAAAGGAAGGCGGTCCATGGCCTGACTGACTGACTGGTCTGTTTGGCGGCGTCCAACTTGGTTTTGGTGGCAAGAAAAAGCCGGCCATGTAACTCAAATGGGTGGGCATAAAATGGAGATCTTTTTTCTTTCGGAGCCCTGCTTCGGCTTCCCCTCTCAACCTGAAAGCGGAACACCCGCCGCTTCTTTTTCACACCGCTTTCTCGCTTGCGTCTCGGAGTCGGCTTCATTTGGGACTAGGATCCTGACCCCAAGTAACCAACCTTCGGCCTCATAAAGCCTGCGGTCAAAAAACAAAATGGGCCACCACCGCGTTCCCACGGCGCGGGGGAAAAAAAAACACCTGCGGTTTTTAGCGGTGAACAAAATTAGCCGGTCCGGCGGCAGGGGAGGTATGGAGGTATGGGCCTTCGAAAACCGTGGGTGTTCCGTTGGGGCCTGCGGGCCATCTTCGAGAGACTTCGTCGCAATTTTTCTCACCTGAGTGGATGGCCAAAAAAAAACAAAAACTGTACATTGAAATTTACCACTAAAATGGTCCAAACCCAAAAAAGTGACTAAAGTTCATGAACTCAGGAAGTGAGCAATAGGTGCTTGGTTGCTGGCTCGGTACCTGAATCTCCCTTTCCACCAAGCCTTGGGTAGCCCAACAAAAGGACGGGCCATATCTTCCCCTAGGCCCTAGGCCCTCCCCCCAACAAAAAAAGACGGGCCATATCTTCCCTAGGTCCTCCCCCCAGCGGAGATGAGGCCAATGAGGCCAAGCCTTAACTTGAATACCCCAACAAAAACACGGGCCATGTCTTGCGCTGGTCGCTGGCGTCGCCTAGCAGCTGCCGCAGCTCCGGCTCCGCGTCCCAGGCCAGGCTCGCCGCGCGATCCGAGCGGCAGCGCCACAGGGTCGCGCAGGCCTTCGCTTCGCGCGGGGCGCGGGTCCCGCTTCGGCCCCGCTTCGGTCCAGCGAGTTGTTTGGAGCGCGTTGGCTCTGGAAAAGAGAGAGCAGGGATGAAAAGTCTGGCTGGAATTGTAAGACTTCACCAGGAAACTTAAGGTGGTGGGGCCATTCCCCTAAACCACCATTTGGGTATGAGTCAAAATTAAACCACCAGGAATTGGACCGCAGGTTTGAATGTCCATGTTTCCATTTACCAGGGCAACCTATTTTGGGGTTACCCTATTTTTGACCCATACCAATTTGGGGCGAGTTCGGTCCTGTGAGGTCCTTAGAATTCGCCCATGGGCCATGGGGATGTAGTCCTTGTCTATTGCTTGGCCAAAGCCCGGAGTGTGGTCTCAAAAGCCTTGGCCGTCCACTTCGACGGGGGGCCTATGCAACGTGTGCCGTTGAACATCTGCTAGTTTGTTTTAGGGTTCCATGGGGTTTGACAACCACCCCAACATCCATCCCCCCCGGAAAAAAAAAAAAAAAAAAAAAAAAAAACATAGAAAACCACCCCGCGACCCACCCGAAATCCATCCCAAAAGCACCTCTTTAGAGTTGCGTAGGGATAGAAAACCACCCCCCAACTCCCGACTCCCACCCCAACTCCGCGCCTGCAATCGCTCCAGGGGCTTCTTTTCCGTCGGCTGCGGGCAGGCGGTTTCCTCATCCAACGCCGCCTCGCAGACGAAGGGATTTTGAGAGCGCAAAGGGTGCCCTTCCCAAATTTATTGAGGCGCCGTCCGTATGAAGAGGCCATCACATTCTCACTTCCCGCCTTGGTTTCAAGGACAACCAAATGGACACCGCCAGGTACTTCCTCACTTTCTGAGTGGACTGGCCAGAAAAGGTCCAGATACTATTTTAGCGTATGATGTACCCCCAAAATGGTCCAAACCCAAAAAAGTGACCAACGTTCAGGAACTCAGGTGTGCAAGCTTTACAAGTAAAGGATCGCAAATTGTGCAATATGTCCAAAACCTGAAATAGGGATCCCCAAGTAAAGGATCTTTACCATGAGCTCGTTTTACTCCCAGGTGAGCACGGAATAGATTATGCAAATGGATGCTTTCTTGGTTGCTGGAAGGACCCCTCTGCAAAAAGTGCCCACCAAACCTAAAAAACATGCCACCAACAGTGAACATGGATACTCTGACGCGCACCATCTGGATTTCGCCCGCGGCTTAGTGTTGGGAATTTGGGCACATGAGAAGGGGACCTCCCCCAATCTATTAAAATAAACAAGCACACACAAGGCAAGGCTATTGTCAGTTGCTCCGCAAACACAAGATGTACATACTGATTGAACATGAACATACGTCATTTGCTGCTAATGACCTTACTCAGTGGGGCATTGTACGTCAGGTAAGTGGGTAAAAACCATGGAGCAAACCCACAAAAGCCATGGCTATAAGTCTCCGTTCAGTGGGTTGTAACCATGGTCATTACCCACCTGACGTACCCGATCGCCCCTTTAAGTAGCCCTGTGGCCATGCTCCAAATGACTTTTTCTGGAGCACATGGGGACGAACTTGTGAAGCTCCAAACCTGATGTTGAACCCCCCCCGGTGAATCTACCTGGAAGATGTGTTGTTTATAAGTTGTCTTATTTCCCAACGAGTGGATTGGCCCACGAAAAAGTCGAGCCAAACTCTTTGTGTTTGCCACTCAAATGCCAACCACACCCAAAAATATTCAAGTCCAGGAACTTAGGGAGGGAGTTGTGCTCCCGGACACCCTTCCATGAATCAACCACGGGGGGCTTGATGGTTACCATTTGGCTGTGGGTCAACAATAGGTACTCGAAATGGATTCCTGGCAAGTGGAACCAAGGACTACAACCAGCGGTCCCTTACTGATTTCATGTTGGCCCATACCCTTTTAATATGCAGCCTCGACATTCAGCAAGCCTGTACACCCAACATAAAGATTCCCAAAATGGGCTCTGCAACAAGGCTTGCCAAATCCCTCTTGGAGTTGTCCTCTTCCCAACCCTCAACAGGATCCCCACCCCCTCCACAAAAAATAAGAAGCCACGCAAATAAAAGAGAAACACAAACCTTAAGAATTTGTGAAGGCAACAAAGGATCCCCTGGGTTTGCAACACACGGCAGCGATAAACATCAGATCGGCAGCTTGCTCGCACATTGCCCTCTGCTTGCTTGCAAAGGTGTTGAGTGAGTTGAGTCCAGTGCAAAGCCAACTGTATGGCTAACACAGGCCCAAACGCGGAACAACGCTCCACAGGTGAACTGCGGGTGACTACCCTCCCAGGTGCAAACTGTTACTGGGCTGTCCAAACTGATCCCTGCTAAAAGTGACGCACTAAACCACTAAACCACTAAAGCTAAGGAAACGGAAACCACCATAACCACCTGAACAGAAACCACGCAATTCTGGTCAAACCCGGAAACCAAGAAACCTAAACAGATCTAGAAGGCGAATTCATCACTTGAGATCCCTAACCCCCCCCCCCCACCCTCCCGAAAGCCAGCCTCCCACCCAAGGCCAGATAGCCAAGGGATGAATGGATCAATCGGCAGGTCTGGGTACCATTCGCCAAGAAAACATCTGACATTTCAATGGATCTCAACCGCTGCCGGCGGTTTTTTGGGGGGGAGGGGGGAGGGGGAATCATAGGTTCCTCGAGTGCAGATGATTTGGGGTCGGGGGGGAACATATAGGTCCTTGATTTCACTCGGTTGCTTTCTGCTCCCCTGCTAAAAGTTTAACTTTTCGTGGTTTAGTGGAAAACCCACTAGTTGGCAAAAAGTTAAAGCCCTAACAGCCAAGCAAAATGCACCAAAGATCAGGTTCTGGAGTTTGGGTTGATCAATATTCCATTCGGCCCCCAAATGACGATGGGTAACGGTTCCGTGCAGGCAAAGTCCTTTTTCCTGGTGGTGTCCATCGTCATCGTATGTAAAGGACCTTTTGATCAACCCACAATACTTGCCACGCTGTGCTTTTGCTTATTGGCCCCCCAAACTCCCACATCACACACGTGCAGTGCGACGCAAAATAATTCGTTGTTTCAATTTGGAATTGTTGACATGTTCAGAGAGGCGGATCGCTTGGGCCGTTCAAGGATGTAGTGCGACCAACCAACCAACCAACCGTCCGCCCGCCCGCCAACCAACCAACCAACCAACCACCTAGCCCTGTGCCAGGGCTAGGATCAGCTTGAGCTCCTGTACTTCCTGTGAGCTCTCTACAGGCTATGGCTAATCGCTCGACTGTGGGGGACATACCGAATCACATGTGTATATATACATATATATGGTAGCCACCCCAACCCCCCAACCCCAAAAAAGAAGAAGAACAAACAGAGAGCAACAGCTGGAACTTGCCCCAAACCACACCATATGTTTATATATATATATATATATATACATATGTTCAGATTCTGTGTTTTTTTTGGTTCGTCTATGCTAAAGTTCAAACTAGTTTTGGAGACCTGCACTAGGTCCTCCAGTTTCGGAGCTTAGAAGAAGTTGGTGCCCATTTTTTTTTTTTTTTTCTGGACGTCTATTTGAGCAGGGGAACCCTCCCAACCCAAAAAACAGGGGTGCGAGCTCGGGCGCCGGGTGCTGGGGGACCGAGACCAGCTTCGGATGCGCCGGTGCCTGCAGGTCGAGCAGGGCCGCCCGGTTCATCAGCGAGCCAAAGGCTGCCGCCCTGCGTGAACGGCCGAGGAATCCGAATTGGATGGAACACGGATGCATGTATAAATAATTAACGGAATTATATATATATACAGCATATATATATATAGGAAACAACGCCCATGAACCACACGATTGAATGGGATGTATGCATGCATGCATGCAGGTATGTATGTATGTATGTATGTATGTATGTATGTATGTATGTATGTGTGTGTGTGGATTTATGTCTGTATGTCTGTATGTGTGTGTGTGTGTGTGTCTGTCTGTCTGTCTGTCTGTCTGTCCGTCTGTCTGTCTGTTTGTCTGTACGTACGTATGTACGTACGTATGTATGCATGTAGGTATGTAGGTATGTAGGTATGTAGGTATGTAGGTAGGTATGTAGGTATGTAGGTATGTAGGTATGTAGGTATGTAGGTATGTTGGTATGTAGGTATGTAGGTATGTAGGTATGTAGGTATGTAGGTATGTAGGTATGTAGGTATGTAGGTATGTAGGTATGTAGGTATGTAGGTATCTAGGTAGGTATGTAGGTATGTAGGTATGTAGGTATGTTGGTATGTAGGTATGTAGGTATGTAGGTATGTAGGTATGTAGGTATGTAGGTATGTAGGTATGTAGGTATGTATGTATGTATGTATGTATGTAGGTATGTAGGTATGTAGGTATGTAGGTATGTAGGTATGTAGGTATGTAGTATGTATGTATGTATGTATGTATGTATGTATGTATGTATGTATGTATGTAGGTATGTATGTATGTATGTATGTATGTATGTATGTATGTATGTATGTATGTATGTATGTATGTATGTATGTATGTATGTATGTATGTAGGTATGTAGGTATGTGTAGGTATGTAGGTATGTAGGTATGTAGGTATGTAGGTATGTATGTATGTATGTATGTATGTATGTATGTATGTATGTATGTAGGTATGTAGGTATGTAGGTATGTAGGTATGTAGGTATGTAGGTATGTAGGTATGTAGGATGTAGGTATGTGTATGTAGGCATGTAGGTAGGTAGGTATGTAGGTATGTTTGTATGTATGTCTGTATGTCTGTATGTATGTATGTCTGTATGTCTGTATGTATGCGATGTATGTAGGTCCTTATGTGTGTCTGTATCTATGTATGTGTGTCTGTATGTCTGTCTGTCTGTCTGTCTGTCTGTCTGGATGGATGGATGGATGGATGAATGAATGTATGTGTGCGTGTGTGAGTTGGTGTGTGTGTGTGTATGTGTATGCCTGTGTGTCTATGCTATGTGTGCCTATGTGCTATGTGTATGCATGTATCACGCATGTATGTGTGACTGTTTTACTTTGTGATCATGTGCAATTACATAACTGGGCAAGTCTGCAATACACGGGATGAACCATGATGTGAGGTAAGGTAATGTAATGTGAATGCGCAATCTGATGGACTGTAATGTATATGTGATAAATAATTGTGATGCGATATCATCCGCTGTATTGTAATGTAGTGTAATGTGATGCAGCGCAATGCAATGTAGAGTAAAGTGATGTAATGTACTTCAATGGAATGTAATGCAACCAATTCATGCATGAGTATGGGATGGTCTGGTCATTTCAACTAATTCCTCCCGACTTGGCGAATTGGAAGAAGGGCAGACCATTCGCAGGCATGGCTGTGATACCAAAGCGGGATTTCCATCCCTGCGACTACTTCATCACTTTGAAGGGTCCCTTATCAACTTCTCACAGAAACTGGCAACCTAAAACCCAACTTCCCACAACATAGGGTGACCCCAAGAAAGCGTGGCTTTGTGTTCTGCCTTTTTGCCCAATTCACCTACCGTTGGCTCCCGAAAAAAGGGGAGCCACGCGCGCCATGCGCCTGTTCTGGTCCGAGAGCACCAAAGGCTCGCTGGGAAGCGAGGACACCAGGCGCTGGATGTTCTCCTCGCAGCAGCCCGGAGCTTTTGGTTCCAATTTTCGGTGGTTCCGATCCATGTCCGGTGTGTAACCGAAGGAAAAAGAGCTCAGTCCAACGCCTTCCTTGCTTTTGACGTTCCAAAAGCTGACCTTGTATTTCTGGGCCCAAACTGGGCAACTGAGGTTTCTGGGTCCTGAAGGTACCGCAGGACCCGGCTTCAGGAAAAAGCTTTTTAATCAGGGGGGTGGGGGGAGGGAGGGGAGGGGGAGGGAGAGCCCAAATAAGCCCTTATTGGGCCCTTAGTAAGGCCTTGTTTAGGTCACATTTGGGCTCTCTCCCCCTCCCCTCCCTTCCCAGCCCCCATGATTTAACCCTTCGGTTGATTGTAAGCGAGGTGAAGATTGTTTTCCTCTTGGAAGATCGATTCCCTCTTGAAACCGACCCTCAGGTGCCATGTTCGCCGGAGGGAGGGTGTGAGCCAACCTCGGCTTTTTGGGCCGATTGGATCATTGTTCCTGGAATCATTGGAATGGTTAAGGATCCTGTCCAGGTGGATGACTATCCCTGTGAGCCAAGTAAAAATGAAGCGGCCTTTTGACCATGGCAGGTATATCCCAGAGACATCAACTCATTCCGTGCGCAAATAGCTTAAGTAAAATCACCCCCTGTCTATTTATCAGGGGCCTCCCAAGAAAGCAATCCCCTTGAGAACAAGTGGGGGGGGGGGTGGTTAAATTTGGGGGTCGGTGGGGGTCGGCATTTCTATTGGCTGCGAACTCAATCAAATGTCATGTGACACTTGGCCAAGCTCCAGGTGAAGTTTTCCGTTTACGCCTCACACAAAAAAACAAACAACAGATCAGGGTTTGGGCTGCCGGACAAAAAATACAAAAACAAAACTTCAGCCAGCACCCTCCGACTACCGTCTAAATTTTATTTTCGGAACTACCGGGTATTTTGCAGTAGTTCCGAAAATAAAATAAACGACAGTAGATCCGCGATCTACGGTCGTTTCATGTTGCCCCCAACAATGAAAAACAAGACCACGCGGTGACACGGTGACACCCGGTGACACACAGGCGACACGGAGTGACACGCAGGCGACACGGGGTGACACGGGGTGACCCGGGCGACACGGGGCGACACGGGGGCGACACGTGGCGACACGGGGGCGACACGGGGTGACACGCTCAAACGACAGTAGTTCGCACTGTCGTTCCGGGGGGGGGGGGGGCGACACGGGGGCGACACGGGGTGACACGGGGGCGACACGGGGTCGACACGCAGGTGACACGCAGGTGACACGCAGGTGACACGGGGTGACACGCTGTGAGGCGCTTGCTGCACTTGCTGCCACCCCTTGATTGCTACCACCCCTGCTATGGCATCTCCCCGTTGTAAACAGTAGCTAGCAGTACTTAGACTATGGGCATCCCGCAAATAAAATATTTGACAGTAGTTTTTCTAGCTACGGTTGCTTTTGGGAAACTTCTATCTACTGCCGTTTGGGCAGTAGTCGGGAATTGCTGGAGCCGGTTTCGTTGACGGGATCCTGTTCCCTCCGAAACCCAACAACGGCTCCCCGAAACGAACCAGACCGGCCGTGTTGAAAAAAACAACAACAAAAAACGTCAACCACTCATAGGTGTCCTTTTAGGGCAAATAGATGGCCCTGGTAGATGACTAAACCACCAGGAAAACCAGGGCCATCTATTTTTCGACCAAAACAACCAAAAAGAACACCTATGCAACCACTCCACTCGCAACGAGTTCACGGCGAGAGGCGACGATGGGGAAGCCGCCATCATCGAAGGCCAAGAACCAGTCGTAGTTCTCGGCTTGGCCTATCGGCTTCCGATTGCTGGAAGGACCCCGCTGCAAACAGCTTGTGGCTCAAGGCCGTGGCTCAAACATCAAGAGCTCGGTTTACGCAGGTTTCAGTCTTTGGTTCCATTTGTCAAGGCGCCATTTTGGTACATGTATTTGAGCCAGAGCCACTTTTTGTGGCTCCAATGGAGAATCCGAGCTCTTTCAACCAAAAAGTGGAGGTCCAAAGATCCCTCACCAAATAGCCATGAAGCTAGAGGCCTCATGTTGTTTTCTCTGAAACGAGAAAGGAACGCCGCCGTTTGGGCCACATAATTTTGAGAAACACCAAGTTGGTGGTTTGGATTGGCGGTTTGGTGGCTCCCTATATCTTCCTCTTTAAACAGCGCCAACACAATGAACTCACTTTATACACATCTTACCCCTTAAAATTCCAAGCCCTGAAAAAGTTAATCTTTTGCAGACATATAGCCCATGTTACCCAAAAAGTTGAAAAGTTGTGTTTTTAAGAGGTAAGACATTGGCCCCAAAGGCCAATAAAAAGGGGAAATTGAAATATCAGCTTCCCTTTGGCTGGTGGTTTGGATTCCTGGTGTGGTAGTGAAACGGGGTGGTTTTCCCACTTACCCTCCACAACGAAGCGTTCTACTCCAAATCCAAACCAATCCAAAGCACCAACTAAGGGTTACCTGACCAATGGCTACGGCTGCAATCGCAAGCCATCTAAAAACCCATGGATATGATGCAGATGTTGATAGGGAGCCCAAAAAACCGACACCAAATGGCCATGAGTTCAAGTAACTTTGACAAAGAACCACTAAAAACGACACCAATGGCTCTGTAAAACGTTTAAGTATGTAGCCGCCCAAAACCCCGGTCTCCGGCGTCAAACCGTCCACGGGCATCTATCAGGATTCTTTGGTTGATGTGCTTTTTCTCCGCCTATTAACACCACAACAAGGGGTACCATGAAGAAAGGACAGACCCAGTTGCTCCTTGAAATGAAAAGGCTTAAGCTGTTGTGACCTTGACGAGCGAGCTGGCCACCCAAGAGTTGTTCAAGCCACAGTTGTTTTACCCGCCACCTTTTGGCTGACCGGGTTGACATCAAGTTAGCCCTGGAACAGGTTAACTTGGCCTGACCCGAAACGCCAAGCAGAACATATGTTCAGATTGTCCGACTTCGTCGAGCTATGACGTGGTATCAACCTGCGAAGCTGATCCCTTCCAAGGAAGCCAATGGTTCAATTCGGGGTTCCTCATTCCATGAGAAGCAACTGAACCCCGAACGATATGTGCCCAACTTTCTGGGGCAAAACACCCAACAAATAGGACCCCAAGGAACCCAAAAGGCACGTCTGTCCAAGCCTCGGCCCAACCACCAAAAATGAACAGAACCAAGAAACCCAAAAACCAAAAAACATGCCAACCACAGTGAAGATTGTATGAAGGCACTGGGAACCCCGGGCGAATAAACCCCAGTTTATGAATAGGGGGTGTCCTGGCTTTAGTGGGGATTCATCACTATGAGGGGAACACCCCCACTAGTAGGACGGGTTTAGTTATCGGGGGTAACATTATAACCCTAACTGGCCCTTTCTGGTCTTACTCGCTAGGCCCTATTCTGGGCTGTTCTCAGATCCCCTGCTAACAGTCTCACCTTTGTGGTGGAAACCAACCTCTAAAAAGCTGAACAGCTAAGGAACCGGATGGCTGGGAACCACTAAGTAGTGTGATTGGAGGGTCCTTATATATGTTTGTTCCACTGGCATCGCTCATTCCGTTCCAACACGTCGAGGCCGCTGCGCGCGATGTGCCGCCACATGCGCCGAGTGCGCAGCCACCGGTTCGTGAGGCCCGCAGGCTTTGGCCTGACTTGATCCGATCTTGATTTTCTGGGGGCTGATTCCAATTCTAGGGTTCTAGGGGTCTACATGTTTTTACTTTCAGGGGTTTTCAACCCCGTGTTTGTTTCCCTCATCTGTGTTTTTCGGGGTGTCTCCATGTATTGTTGAAGGTGGGGTTCTTTATGGTTCTGGGGGTTGTTTCCCCATTCATTTCACATCGTTCTTGTCGAAAACCAGCCCTTGATTTTCTGGGGGCTCATTCCAATTCTATGGTTCTCGGGGTCCATATATTTCTGGGGGTTGATTCCAATTCTAGGGTTCTAGGGGTCCATATATTTCTGGGGGCTGATTCCAATTCTAGGGTTCTAGGGGTCCATATATTTCTGGGGTTGATTCCAATTCTAGAGTTCTAGGGGTCCATATATTTCTGGGGGTTGATTCCAATTCTAGGGTCCTAGGAGTCCATATATTTCTAGGGGTTGGTTCTAATTCTACGGTTCTCGGGGTCCAAATATATTTCTGGGGGTTGATTCCAATTCTAGGGTTCTAGGGGTCCATATATTTCTGGCGGTTGATTCCAATTCTACGGTTCTAGGGGTCCATATATTTCTGGGGGTTGATTCCAATTCTAGGGTTCTAGGGGTCCATATATTTCTGGGGGTTCATTCCAATTCTAGGGTTCTCGGGGTCCATATATTTCTGTTGGTTGATTCCAATTCTAGGGTTCTCGGGGTTGGTTGATTCCAATTCTAGGGTGTCCATATATTTCTGGGGGTTGTCCTATCCATAATTTTGGGGGTTGATTCCAATTCTAGGGTTCTAGGTGTCCATATATTTCTGGGGGTTGATTCCAATTCTAGGGTTCTAGGGGTCCATATATTTCTGGGGGTTGATTCCAATTCTAGGGTTCTAGGTGTCCATATATTTCTGGGGGTTGATTCCAATTCTAGGGTTCTAGGGGTCCATATATTTCTGGGGGTTGATTCCAATTCTAGGGTTCTAGGGGTCCATATATTTCTGGGGGTTGATTCCAATTCTAGGGTTCTAGGGGTCCATATATTTCTGGGGTTGATTCCAATTCTAGAGTTCTAGGGGTCCATATATTTCTGGGGGTTGATTCCAATTCTAGGGTGCTAGGGGTCCATATATTTCTAGGGGTTGGTTCTAATTCTACGGTTCTCGGGGTCCAAATATATTTCTGGGGGGTGATTCCAATTCTAGGGTTCTAGGGGTCCATATATTTCTGGCGGTTGATTCCAATTCTAGGGTTCTAGGTGTCCATATATTTCTGGGTGTTGATTCCAATTCTAGGTTTCTAGGGGTCCATATATTTCTGGGGGTTCATTCCAATTCTAGGGTTCTCGGGGTCCATATATTTCTGTTGGTTGATTCCAATTCTAGGGTTCTCGGGGTCCATATATTTTTGGGGGTTGATTCCAATTCTAGGGTTCTAGGTGTCCATATATTTCTGGGGGTTGATTCCAATTCTAGGGTTCTAGGGGTCCATATATTTCTGGGGGTTGATTCCAATTCTAGGGTTCTAGGTGTCCATATATTTCTGGGGGTTGGGGGTTGATTCCAATTCTAGGGTTCTAGGGGTCCATATATTTCTGGGGTTGATTCCAATTCTAGGTTCTAGGGGTCCATATATTTCTGGGGGTCTGATTCCAATTCTAGGGTTCTAGGGGTCCATATATTTCTGGGGGTTGATTCCAATTCTAGGGTTCTCGGGGTCCATATATTTCTGGGGGTTGATTCCAATTCTAGGGTTCTAGGTGTCCATATATATGTATATATTTCTGGGGGTTGATTCCAATTCTACGGTTCTAGGGGTCCATATATTTCTGGGGGTTGATTCCAATTCTAGGGTTCTAGGGGTCCATATATTTCTGGGGGTTGATTCCAATTCTAGGGTTCTCGGGGTCCATATATTTCTGGGGGTTGATTCCAATTCTAGGGTTCTAGGTGTCCATATATATGTATATATTTCTGGGGGTTGATTCCAATTCTACGGTTCTAGGGGTCCATATATTTCTGGGGGTTGATTCCAATTCTAGGGTTCTAGGGGTCCATATATTTCTGGGGGTTGATTCCAATTCTAGGGTTCTCGGGGTCCATATATTTCTGGGGGTTGATTCCAATTCTACGGTTCTCGGGGTCCATATATTTCTGGGGGTTGATTCCAATTATTCTAGGGTTCTAGGGTCCATATATTTTTACTTTAAGGGGTTTTCAACCCCATGTTTGTTTCCCTCATCTGTGTTTTTCGGGGTGTCTCCATGTATTGTCGAAGGGGGGGGTTCCTATGGTTCTAGGGGTTGTTTCCCCATTCTTTTCAACCATCGCTCTTGTCGAAAACCAGCCCTTTTCCCGGGTTTCTGGAGGTTCTCTAAGAAGCAGGATCCCTGGAAAGAATCGGGGGCAAAAAAACAACAACTTGTTCATGGAAGACCAATTCTCACTGTATATTTCTGGATTTCCCAAAAGTTAAAGTCCACAGATCCAAGCCAGTAGCAATCAAGCTATGTTTCTTTCTACACGGAACCAGCTCAAAAGTGCCCTAGACCTTAGATTCATCAAGCGAGCGCTGCAGTCCGACAGCAAGCTTGTGCACTGGACCTGGCTTGGCTTGCACTGCAAATCACATGCGGTGCGGCTCAAAATGAAAGGGCTAGGGCAAACAAGGTGTTGGTCGTTGGTTCCATTTACCTTTTGGTGCCATTTGTTCTCCATGTTTTTGAGCCACATCCATACGACACATGTATAAGGCCTCCCCCCCAAGCAGATCTGGGCAAAGAGGAATTTGCAAACTGGAAAGTAATCCTCGCGCAAGGAAACGTTCTCATGGACAAAATCCTGCTATGGATTGGAACAAACCAACAACCGGTGAAGGGGGCTTTGTCCATCGGGCCGAATTGTGACTTATGAGAGGCTGCGTATTGAGAACCATGGGCCAATGACCCCCTTCCTCCCTCTGCTCTTGCTCCAAATGGGTGTGAATGTTGACAGAGAACCCAAACCCACCAGCCACTTTGGACGTGGCTGCGTAAACGAATCATAGCCAAATCAAGATTGCATCGTAGGTGAGCTATAGATGAGTTTGTTTTTGTTTTCCCAATTCAGTGACCCCTTCTAAAATGGTGGCGTTCCCTTCATTCTTCAATTAACACCACCCAAAACAATGACCTCAACAAAAGGGACACTGAGTTTTCCCTTCAAGCGTTGATCCATTTCCTGGTTTCCGTTGAAGCTGCCACTTTGTGAGGTTTGAAAGAGGGAAATCCAGGGACGGAAGAACCCATGGTTTCATTTCACCAGGGGGTTGAAGCTCCTCTTAAGCCACCCCACCCCCCACCCCCACCCCCACCCCCACCCCCCACCCAACCTCCCCACCCCCACCCCACCCCACCCCCACCCCCACCCCACCCCACCCCCACCCCACCCCCACCCCCACCCCACCCCCTCGACCCTTCCTGAAGCCCATGGCCGGCTCCAGCTGCGCCGCTTGGGCGTCGTAGCCGGCGATGTCCTCCTGGTGCCTCCCACGACGAGCGCGGCAACGCGGCAACGCGTTTTGGCGCGTTTTGGGTGGCACGGGTTGGCGTTGGGTCCGGGAGGCTCTGGGGAAGCTTATGAAGCTTTCAGGAAGCTAGTTCTGTTCGGTGTTACTGCCAATCTTTTCGGTGTTACTGCCATTTTTTTCGGCGTTACCGGTTTCTTTTCCCGGTTACCGCTGGCTTTGAGGGAAACCAACAGTGGGTCCAACCTGAAAACAACACACACCCAAATTGACCAATTCCCTCACGAACCTGAAGATCAGTTCAAGCTTGGCAAAGCCAAAACCAGCCTTCTGCGCATACCACGACCCGACCGCGAGAGACGAGTTCCTGGGGTCACGGGATTTCCCCTTCAATGGTTGCAATTTACTGGTGGTTTCCATTCAAACGATCGAATTCCACGTTTGAAGGTTCCAAAAAGGGAAATGGCTCGGAAACACTGCTTAAAGTGAAGACTTTGAGGGATTCCCAACTCTTGGCGAAACCCTGCTTGAAGTCAACGTCTTCAAGGATTCCCAACTCTTTCCTTCGAAGGGAAACAAACTTGAAACCAGCAAACACAAGCTTCAGCCAGCATCTCCCCTGTTCATCCAAACTTTCGACCTAAACCGTTTGGGAGTGCCCTGCTGTTGGGTTGGTAAACCCTCACGAATTTGGAGGTTCCCTGTTTTTAAGATACACATACCCCGGAACGGCCAAAGGAGCAAATCCCTCCATTTCAAGTCCCGTGAAGCAAAACATGTGGCCAGTAGTGATAACTTCCCTGTAAAACCAACAAAGGGGAAATCAAAAAAGAAGAAAAACAAAACATGTGTCCAGTAGTCTTAGAACCCCTTTAAAACCAACAGGGGGAAGAAAAAAAAAGGCGCAAACAAACAAATCAGCACATGGCAGAATCCATCTCCCTTGCGAGGCGCTCGTCCCAGAAGAGCGCCCCATGGCAATGCCGCGCCCAGGTGTCTTCGCCCTGGTCCCGGTAGCCCCGCCGCGCCTGTCTCCGGTCGCAGGTTACAGCCGTCCCCTCAAAAACCCTCCCCGAGACCCCCTACTTTGGTTGCTGATTACCCTCCTGCAAAAAGTTTAACTTTTTAAGGGGTTCAGTGGGAAACAGCGTTATTTCAACCAAAAAGTGAAAGTCTAAAGATCCAACCCAATAGCAGCCATGCTAAGGAGGTGACTAGGTGAACATACCGCATTTGCTCACTTTGACAATCCCCAGAAACCGTCACATTCATAACCCCAGATACGCCAAACTGGGTTGGCCAAGGGAAAACGGGAGACAAGCCCTCACCTCCCAAGTTGACTGGCCAAAAAAAGTTTGAACTTTGTATTTACCACTAAAATGGTCTTTCCAAAAAGTTTAAAGTCCAAACCCTTCCTGTGGTGGCCAAACAGGGTGGTTTGAAGCTTAAGAGTAGCGATAGCCATGTGAGAAACCCAGCGGTTCCGGTTCCGTGGAGGGCAATTATTGCCAGCTACCCGGCACAAAGACTTGGGGAAAGGAGAGGTCGCAGGAAAAAAAACGGTCCTGCAGTAGAGAGCTTCGAATAAGTTGGTACCGTCTTTTTTTTCGGTAGTCTATTTTAGTAGGGGAGCTCTCCCAACCAAAAAAGTTGGTGAGAAAGGGCACTACTGGGGGACCTAGAAAAACAAGGAATGAAAACCAGAAGGAAACCAAACGGAGACCCGAAGAAAACCGGCAGGCCAAATAAATAAAACTTCCCAAAGCCAAAGTGGGGACCCCATTTGGTTTTTGTCATGATCTGGCAATCGGTGCGGAAAAGAAAAAGAGAGCTGCACATCTGAAGTTGGCAGCTGCGCGCACTCCCAGAGACTGAACCAATCCCTCAGCAACCAGGTCATACCTGGGCTGTCCGTTTTTGCAGATCCCATGCTTAAAGTTCACTTTTGGGGGTCAATGGACATCCAACCACCAACCAAACCGACTAAAAAACGAAAAAGCCAAGGAACCGGATGGATGGGAACCGCCCAGAAACTCCTAGCGGCCAGGCCCTCGGATATTGAGGCCCACTTGAAAGCGGCAGTTTCGTGGTCCATGTGAGAGGCGACCAAATGATTGACTTTTGCTTCCAAGATGGCAATGGCTTGGACGGGCCTTAGAACGGACCTGCTACAATTGCCAATGCGGGTTTTGGGCGCTGCTCATGTTCGGCGCTTTCCAGAGGACTGATCGGGTCTTTCTAGCATCACGCAGTTCTCGCGCGCATTTTCAGCGCAGGTCGGTCATTCGCCGCTGCCAAAACAAGGATCCCCAGGGAACAGCTACTGGGTCACTTGGAGTGAACAAGTCCGAAGGTTCTCCAAATGACTTGAGGACCTGTGCGGTATGATTTTCCTTGAACCCAGCGTTCAAAGGCTCATTGTGCGGCTGTCACTTTGATGACCCCGCTGCTACCCGACATGCGCCACTTTGTGGCGGATGCCAGCCATTTGGTTGGGCGCTGGGTAACTTACTGACCCCCAATAGACATGGCTGGGCCATGAATTTCTAAAGGCCGCCACATCAAAAGATCCCAAAAGGGATCTCGACAAATGGCTTTCAGTCGACAAAGCGGACCTCGTCTCTCACCAAAACACCCAAACGAGCCATTGCACCTGAAACATGGCCACCCCCCTTGGCTAACAAAGGCACAGGCGAAAAAAACCCGAGCAGTTCGCCTTGGAAGCACACTTCACCCAGTTCTTCCGAAAAGCATCTCCTTCTGGCTTCCTTGAGGGAAGCCCATGTTCGGGAAGCCCTGTTGGATTGATCAAAGCTATTGAACGGCTACTATTGGTGCAACAACTAGTTTAGGGGCTTCTCCGATTCTGATTTGCCGCGAGCCGTTCGCTGCTCCCGAGCCCTTCGCCGCTCACTGCTCGGTCAGGCCGGTCCAGCAGAAGAGCCGCACGTCGCCCATGTACTTGATGAACTCGCCTAGACGAATGAAGAGCCGTTGGGAGAAATAGGAAAGGAGGGTTTCAAAGATCTAACTTTTCTCAATTGGATCAATAAACCAACAAAACAATAAGACCTATTGAAGATCTGATTAAATCTCAGCTAACTCAATTGAAGGGGACCCCCAGAATAATGGCCGACTTTACATCCTATGGCCTCTATTGTGGAAAGTGTTTTCCCAATTCAAAATCCAGTGTTTCTTGTTTGCTTTAACGGAAAGTGTTTTGGCCGGACAAACACATGGGCAAGCAAAAGCCGGGCAAAACAACGGGCAAACACATCCGGGCAACAAATAGGAACTCCTGTCTTTGAAGTGCCCCAAACCATCGATTTTGTATATATGTATATATAAGCTACGTTTAAACGAAACAAACAAACAGTCACCCAACAAGAGCCCCTGATCCGCTTTGCTGTGCCTGTTTCGAGGGTCGCTTTACTGTCAAGTGCAATTCGCAAAGGATGGTTTGTCCGAGACCTGGCAAGTGAGTAACCCCTAGATGGTGGTTTGGATTGGTTGTTTAGGGATTGGGAGGGGGGGGGCTTTCCCACCTACCTTCTACAAGAACCAAAGGCTCAAATCCTGAAACCAATCCAAACCACCAACTAGGGGTTGCCTGAGATCTGATTCAATTTCCCAGAGTTTTGCAAAGCATGTCAAAACTAGAGACGGAATGGAACCGTCTCTCTAAGTCAACAAACTTTACCTGAGCGTATCGTCTTGAAGCGGTGCTTACGCGACAGGGGCACTTACGCGCCACAGAAAAAAAACAAACAAACTAAACCTCAGCCTCACATCCCGAATGGCCCACTGACCTCAGCCTTGGGGAACCTCAGCCTTACGCGCCAGGGGAAGAAAGAGAATTGGAGCATATTGAGAGGGAGGTGGATGCCCTAAACATTGCAAGCAGGGAATACGGAAAAAAAACCTCCTCATGTACCTGAATTTCCCCAAATTGTGTGCTTGAATGCCCCCCAACCACACATTAAAACCAAAAAAACAAACTAGAAACCTTTGAGCTTTGAGCCGCGAGGCTGTAGTAGGGCTCATTGGGCTTCCCATCTCCGGTGATCACCTTCACCAAGTTGTAGCTGCCAAACTCCACGGATTTGCAGTTGCCTCACGGCGCGTCTTGCGCGTCTTGGATGCGCGGCATCTAATAAAAGGCTTCGGTGTGCCCCCCGTTGGCTTGAAAGCTATCTCCAAAAGGGTCCCCTCAACAAAAAGACTCATCCACTTATTGTCGCGAAAATCAATTGGGAACCAACCATTTCGGAGGGTGTGCCCGAACATAATCATTTTTTTGGAGGTAACCTGCCATTCTATGCTTGTTTTGCCCGGAACTACTACTACTACTACTACTACTACTACTACTACTACTACTACTACTGCTACTACTACTGCTACTACTACTGTGCCTTGGTTTCGAAGGAAGCTCAACAAGGCCAGGGATTGGTGGTACGCTTTGGGCTTCGTCCGCCTTCTGGGTGTTTCCGCATCTGTGGGTTGAATGGAAAATCTCGCTTGCCCCTCAGAAACTTGGATCATAGGTGTCCTTTTTGGGAAAATAGATGGCCCTGGTAGTTGATTGAACCCCCAGGTAAACCAGGGCCCTCTTTTTTTCTAGCGAATCAAAGAAAAAGGACACCCATGATGAACCAAATCAGGGGGTTGGGAGTTGGGACGCTCCGGCACCCCAGTTGGACCCAGATCCACCTTTGTCTCAAAATAGGCTCTCCTCAAAGTTGGAGGCTTTGCATTTGGCTTCCCTTCAAAGCCATCCCAAAAAGGGTGCCCTCCAAAAACCTGTTCATAGGGGAGCTTTCAATCCACCGAACCCTTCGAATGCTTATGTTGGTACCGAGCTTCTAACAGAAACACCCTGAAGGAAAAAAAAACGTCCCTCAAAAAAATGGTGCTCGCAAACAATAAAGGATAAAGGGGAATCACGGCCAACAAAGGAGGGCTACACTGTCAACTCAAAAAGCGGATTCCCCAAAAACTCACTTCCTCAGCGGATTGGCCAACAAAAAGCAACCAAACTTCCTGTTGGCCACCAAAACGAGTCCGAACCGCAGCTCCAAAAAACGGGAACCCAACCAAAAAAAAAGAGAACCCCGCCCCCGGCTTTCTTTCCCCACCCCGCGTTTTGAAAAACACGGCCGACGCGTGGTTCGCGCGCGGTTCGCGCGTGTTTCCCGCTGGGGGCCCCGGCAGGGGCCCCAGAAGCAGCCGCGCTTCCAGGAGGAGCCGGGCTCCGCGCTGGGCGACTCCAGCGCCTCCAAGGTGAACTTCCCCCCTGGCGCTCCAGGCGCTCACGGCATTTTTTGCGTCCAGGGGAGGGCTGCAAGGGGGGGGGGAAGGCTCCAGGGTTTAAACCGAAATTTGAGCTTTCAGGTGCCCCAAGGCGTTTCTGTTCTTTTTGGGCAGGGTTTCCGAGCCATGTGCCTTCTTACCTCCGAAAGTGGCGATCGTTTCAATGCAAACCACAATTGTGTGGGCAGCATTTCTCAAAGTCTGATTCCCTCGTCGGGGGTACGAGTCCCAATTCCCATTGTTCTGGTCTTCCCCAAAGGGGAAATGGGTTGCCATAGATGGAATTCCAGAGTTCACCCCCGTCCCCCCATTCCAGCTTTAAGGGGGCGTTCTCTTCACTTAACTAACTCGGGATTCATGTTCTCCAGGGGGCATTAGTTGTTACCAGGTGTGGAGGTATGGAGGTTGTATAACGCTTTTGGAGCTATGGAGGTTATATATTCCAGTAGAAGCGTTTTGTCCACGTTAGCTTACATTGGTGGTACATACTTGAAAACATACCTGGAAATGCCATCTTGACTGGCGGATCCATCGACCGGCTGTGCGATAAAAAGCGGGGCCGAGGGGAAAAGGGTGGGTTGTCAGGGTTCCCGAAAGTTCCCTTACAGTTGCCGAAACCCCACCAAAAAGGAAACTTGCCTTGTAAGGGTGATGTCTTAACCATCCAAAAGGAGAGCCCTGCACATGGTGGGCACCAATCAAACGTGTCGGGCAACAAAGGTTCTCAGGTTGGTTCACAAATGTTGCGCAACATGTTGCAATGATGCCCAAGATTCCCGAACCAAAAAACGAAAAACAATTGGAATGTGTTTTGGCGTATTGCTTTTTGTCACCTAGTCCTGCGCAACAGTCCCCATGAACAAAAAGTGGAGTCAGAATTGGTACTTATTCAGGTTCTTTTAGTGGGGAGTGTGGCCGAAAAAGCTGCAATGCTTGTGTGTGTGTGTGTGTTTTGTGAGTGGGTGCAAGAGACAGCTGATATGTGAAAGAAGGTAGGTTTTGGTAGGTACCATGTGTGTGTGTATAATATGATATACATATATATATATAGGTAGTGGGTAGACAACCACAACAAGGTGTGGCAGAAAATGTCGACCCGGAAATCATAAACCCCTGGCTTAGAATCCTTCACGCATGGCTTTCCTTGCCTGACAAAAGGTAAACTTCAAAGCCGCAGGTTCGAAAAATCTGGGCTGTTCCCAGATTCCCTGCTAAAAGTTTGCAACTCTTCGCGGGTTTAGCCAAACCTAATCCTACCCTGACTGGGTTAACCTTTTAGTAGTGCACATTATTAACAACCAAAAGGGTTGACTGGTTGTTTGGCCTAACCCTTCGCGGTTTAAGAAGATACCACTGAACCCTAAACCCCGTTGTTTAGCCTAACCCTTTAGCGGCTTTCGTTTAAGAAGCTATTATACTCAACCCTAAAACCCTACAACCCTAAGGAACCGAATGGCTGACCACAAGTAAACCTCGACGGGCCTATGCATGTCAAGCAGGGGCAGAAGGGCACAAAGGTCCCCACGTTGATGGTGTCCTCAACGCGCGCTGATTCGCACACGGCACGCTTTGTATTGGCCCCAAAGGCTGAGAAGAGGGGAAATCGGCGCGGTGTCCCGTTGACCCTCTACCAAACGTTAAAATCCCCCAAACCACCAATCCAAACCACCACTTAAGGGTTACCTGAATATATATATATATATATATACATATATATATATATATTGCAAGTCTATTCAATTCCCCAAGCTTTCACGGCCACATTTCAAGGTTTCCAAACCTCCAAGCAAACGAAGAAACAGTCGTGGGATGTTTTTGTTGTTGACCCCGGTATAAGTTGACTTTTCCCCAACCGCTGCAAGCGATTTGGGGTCTCTGGGGTGGTTTGCAGCTTTCAGAGTGGGTTCCGGAGGGCTCCAGGCGTTGCAGGGCGGTTGGGGATACCACTTTGGTTTTTGGCCCAACCGAAGGCAGATGCATGGAGTGTAGAAATTACGATGCGCAAGCCGGAAAGACGATATCCTAAGGTAATCTAGGGGTTGATTCCCTAAATCTGTTCAATGTTGTTTTCAAAAACCATGCATTTTGGCGGGGTTTATTGTAAAGGGCCTTGATCGGTCTGCTCGTTTGCCTGCGTGGATCACCAAAAGGTCTCGAGCTGTTCTTGCAATTCCAAACTCGGCTAACGCTCCACTGAAACCGCCCTAGTGAACAGCCCCAAGCTCCTTCGTGTGCAAAACAACTTCCCGTGAAGGATTCCTGGATAGCACGTGGTGCACTGCACAGCTAGAAACAAATCTGTGATTGAAACTAAGACGCCCCGCGAATTCTGGCAAACGGCGCTAAAACAGTTACACGCATGATTCTCCCCATGTGCATGGCTTATGTGTTTAGAGTAGCCCGAAACCAACTCTTTCAAAAGGAGCTTCAAAAGATGGGGCCCTTGGAGCATTCCGTTTCCTTCCCGTTCGAAGAACCCTGACACGTTCCCAATCCCGCGATGAAGAGCGAAACAAAAGGACCGCGGCAAGAACTGCCCCGAGGTCGGCATGGTGCAAAAGCCTGGGGGGCTCCAGCTGCATTTGAATTACTCGCTTTTCAGCTCGGAAGTCAAGTTGCAGCTTCCTTTCGCATGTTGGAACGGGTCCCACGGCGCTTTGCGAGAAAAAGTTCGACTCTTGGGTTTCCCCTCCCCCTTTCACGGCTATACGTACCAACCCCTCCCCTTACGGCTACCAACCCAAAAAAGCACGAGCGCCGTGGCTTTCCCCCCGGCTTTCCCCCGGCCGCTCCGCCGGGTCCCCGGCCACTCGGAGGTCGGTGGAGTGGCCCTGGAGGATGCCGTGCTTCTCGTCCTGGAAGTTGAAGGACAAACAGCCTCGGATCGATCCATAGCCCCAGCCTCGTGAAATTTCAGAGGGGAACTGAAAAACTGGAGAGTGGGGAGGGGGTGGGGTAGAATTCCCTCATTCACCCAACCCCTCATGAACAAGGGGGGGAACTGGGAACTGGGGGAGGGGGGGAGGGGGGGAACTCTTAGCCTCTCATCTCATGAACCCTCAAAAGGGGAACTGGATGGAACTGAGGAACTGGGGGACTGGGTAACTCCCTGATTCACCCCTGAATAAGGCTTTCAAAAGGGAGTGGGAGTGGGAGTGGGGGGGGGGGAACTCCCTCATTCAGCCCTGAAGACGCCCCAACCCCTCGTGAACCCGCAAAGGGGTAACTGGGGAGTGCGGAGGGGGGGGGGGGCTCCCTTATTCACAGTTGAATAAGGCCTTCTTAAGGGCTTGTGTTTGCCTTATCCTGGGCGTATCCAGGGATAGCACCCCCACATCGCCCCCCACATCGCGCTCCATGACCCTCTGAACCAAGCGAGAACCCCTCATCACGCTGTTCCCTTCGATCCCCCGCTGAAACGGTCGAACACTTTTACTTGGTTGACGTTGGAAGGGGAGCAACCATTCTCAAATTTGAGCAGTTAAGTGGTTGGATTTCAACCACTAAACCACCATAAGCAAAAATGTAAAATGTTTCCCAACAACAACCATGTTTAGTGGTGTGGACCCTACCACTACCTGTTCCATCAACTCCCCTGCAAACGGGCGATTTCCCAAAATTATGTGATTTATGTCTGGTTCTTTATGGAAACCAACCCAAAAACCTAACAACCTGTCTGCGACCGGATGACTAGCCACCAAGTTGAAGCGGCAGATCGATCGGATATAATCATGGTCGACCGAATGGTTTTGGACGGATGGGTTTGTTTGGATAGGCTTGCATGGTTTGATTGGTGTTGAATGGTATTGAATGGTGTTGGATGGGTTTGTTTGGATAGGCTTGCATGGTTTGAATGGTGTTGAATGGTATTGAATGGTGTCGGATGGGTTTATTTGGATGGGCTTGCATGGTTTGAATGGTTTTGGAATGGTTTTGGATGGTTTTGAGGATGGCTTCGGAGGAAGGCTATTCTGCGATGTGCTTGCTTGTGACTATCCTCATAGTTGCTTTCATGCATGTTGGAGGTTGGAGACTTCATCAGCTGACCTGTTCGTCAAAATAACGAACATTGAAAAAAACAATGGAGATTTCGTCAAACTTCTATGACAGGGTTTAGACTACATGTGTGTCGAGTGATGAGGTTGCGCTGTCAAACAATCTGCAACGCCCTCCATTAAAACGCGCATGTGTCCAATACACAGTGCTTTACGATCCCGTATTTCGACGTGAGCTATCAAATACTAAGTATTACACACGCCAAACTCATCTGCGACCTAAACAGAAGAAAAACGCGTGGGCTTGCTCTGCATCCCGCCCTTGACATAACGCGCAAACAAACCAGCTACGCCATAGCAGCCTTTCCCCCTGCCAGTACACATGATTCTGGATAGGATGGCTTATTTGGATGGGCTTGGGATGGCAGACGTGTTGGACTGGATGCTTTAGATGGTTTGAATGATTTTGGGTGAGTTTGGATGATCTAATGGTTTTTTGTTCATTTTCAATGGCGTCGAATGGTTTTGCCATGGTGTAAGTTGGATGCCCTGAGTGGTCTTCGATTCTTTATGGGTGCTATGACCAAAAGGCCCCAACCAACTGCTTGTCAATGCAGCCACTTCTCGTCAGCCACGCCAATCAACTCCAAACTCCAAACTCCCAAAGCCAATCTTACCCCTCCCTCACCCCCAAAACCGCCCCCACCCCCCCCCCCCCACCACCCCCAGCCCACCCCCAAAACCGGCCCCCCAGCCCACACCTGCGAGAAGTTGAAACCATTCGGCCGAGCCGCTGGGAGGCGTCACGCCCGGAGCTGGCTTCTTCCCGTCGCCAATGATCAGGCCTCGATCCATCCGAGTCTTCGGGGAAAAACAAACATGTGACCCCTATGGGTTCTCGGTCGCTTTCTGCTCCCCTACTAAAAGTGAAAACTCTTAGTGGCTTAATGGGGAAAATTCCCCTTCGTTGGCAAAAAGTCAAAGTCCTAACAGCCAACATCCACCTATGGGTTCCATGACACCTGGAACCCCAGTTTCTAGATGCAAAACGAAACATAGCGGTCCTTTGATGCCAGCCGGAACCCATGTATTGGAAGCTACTTAGGGTAGCCTGGTTCAGAAAGTCACTTTTTGACTGAGCCAGGCGGGACCCGGTGTGACATGTGGGCCACTGCCTGTCTTCAAAAAAACGCGCCATAGTCATTGGGCCTCTGAAGCTGAACGCCATGGTGTTTGGTGTGCACAAATCAAATGAGGACACATTTTGTGTTTCAAACAGCAAAGTTCGGGGCTTTTGTCGCACAGTCCACTTGGGAAAGCATATTCAATTGGATCGATCGGCTTATCCACCGGTCATTTTGTGTGGATTGGCAGGATTTAGTCTTGACGCGACTCGATTTAGCGAGCTCTAAGCTCGACATTCCGCAGAACGACATTCCCCTGTATATACCAACAAACATGTTGGTTTCAGCTCAAGTGGTGCGAACGGATTTCGCAACCATCCACATGATCGATCCCTAGCCTATATATAACTGGGCTTTCCTCAGAGCCCCTGCTAAAAGGTGACAAACTGTTAGTGGAAATAAAATGGAAACTACCACACAAACTAAAAACACCTAAACACCTAAGGAATCGCATGGCTGGGCACCACCAAAACAACAGTCTAGGTCCTCCAGTAGAGAGGTTAGAATAAGGGTACCCTTTTTTCTGTAGTCCATTTGAGTAGGCCTTTTTTCTGTAGTCCATTTGAGTAGGGGAACCCTCCCTCAAAAAAAGGGTGAGAAAGGGCACTACTGGGGGTCCTAGCAGTCATGTTGAACACCCACTGGGCTGTCCTCAGATCCCAAGGCAAACCTCCAATGCGATCCAAGTCTCGAGCGCCGATTTTGGTGGTCGTCGGACCGTACCTTCCGACGAAAGTCTTCACCGAAATTCACCCACGAAAAGGCGGGTGCGCCACAGAGGAAGCAGAGGGCACACTTGTTCAGGGAGAATGAGCAAGGGGCACGACGCCAAAATGACGGGAACGAAAATGCGCTGTCTACGTTCAGCATACTTTCAGCTTTCTTTACACTGTAAAGAGGCGTTTGCAAAGTCTGGCGACGGTGCTTTGCACAGAGACTCAGTGAGCTCAGTTGCAAGCCAGCCAAATTCGTCCTGATGAGCCTGGCGAAACAGCTCGGCGAACTGGCTAGATGAGCCGCTTCCGACAAGGCACGTAGACAGGACTGAATGTGATGGTAGTCTTTCAAAGCCATCCTGTGCCCTACGATGATTGTTGGACAAATGGCAACTAGCTAGATTTGCGAACTGGCAAGATTTGCTAACTAGCTAGAGTAGGTAGCTAGCTGATGGGCAAGAGAAGTCTTGATCGGCACTTTTGCATTTCACAGAAAAGGCTTCTCAAGCTACTTCACTGCTTCGACACGTCCCGGCTTCCGCGTCTTTGCTGACAACCTGTGATAAAAAAAGAGGTCCTCTGCCGTGGTCTGTTTATCACTAGCCCTTTCTTCAGGCTGGTTTGGTTCTGGGTAAAGTCGGAGAGGTCACGGATTGTTGACTGCAAGGTGTTTGATGGTTCTATGACGCATGGAAACCTCCTCTAGTACAGACTCAACACCTATCACCAACCTGAACTGATCTGGAATGACAATGTTGCTCACACAAAGGGCCGCCTGGGGGGAAATAACGTCCGAACAATGGCACACAGAAATGTGTCAAAATAAGGGACCCTCAAAAGTGGTGGTTTCCTTTTTGCATGTTTCCCTTCGAACCACCAAAACAGTACCCAAGAAGCACGGACTTGCTTTGCAAGTAAGAACCTTACCTATTAAGTTGTTCATCATTCGGGTGTGGCTCAAAATCAAACAGCCAGCCAGGGTTCTGCATATTTTGGACTGTGTTTCCATTTACCCAGGGGCCGTTTTGGGTGCCATGTGTTTAGCCACAGCCATTTTCTTACACATCCAATCAGGGCCACTTTCTCACTTGGGTCCTACCAAAAGTTTGCGGAGCATCGGGGCTTCGGCCCTTCGGACATGCTTGCAACAGATGTTCGACGAATCTGACCCGATGGGTTTAAGGAGCCACAATGGAATCAGTTTGAACTAGGTGGTTTCACAATGGACTTGGACCCCCTGCAGAAATCTGTATTTTGTTGCTGGGAAATGTCGCACCTGGTTTAACATCGGTACCCTGAATAATGCCAAGTTTCCTCGGCTTGTGCCATCTTTCAAGTCAAGTTGTTTGCTGGGCGAAAATAAATCCGCGCAACAAACACGGGCACACAAGTCGGGAAAAAAGGGCAAACAAATTTGGGCAAACATTTGGATTTCTTTAAGTGGTCCCCAAACCATCAACTGTAAAATAACTTCTTTACAAAAAAGTAAGGGCAACCAGTCACACAAAGAAGCTTGGTTGCCCCAAGAGGCCCTGATTCTGTTCAGTGTGACTGCTTCTTTTTCTTTCTTTCTTTTTTCTTGGGGGAGGGGGGGGGGACGCTTTAATGTCCAACTTGTTTGAGGGGACGCTTTGAAACTCGAAAGTTAAAGCCTTAGCCTTTTACTTTTGAAGGGTGGTTCACCTCACCAAGCTCAGCTCAAAGGGTAAAGGCCGAGCTAGGAAATCCATTCTGCAAGTCCCCCATCCGGAGCCAGTGATCCTGTTTAATATGACGGTTGGGTCTTCTTTCATATCGGGCGTTTTTCGGGGTGGGTCAAATCTGGCAATACCGAATTTAGACTAGGCAATACCAAAGAAACTGAGTAAGTCCAATTTTGACAAAAAAAACTGGGTTCTGGCAATGCCAAACTAAGTAGTGGCAATCCAACAGGCCTACGTCCTCCAGTAGAGAGGATCGAATAAGGGCACCTTTTTGTTTCCTTTGTTTTTTCTTTTTCCGGTAGTCTATTTTAGTAATTAGGGAAACCCTCCCGGGCACGATCCTGGGGGACCTAGACTGCATTGGCCCTATTAAATGACACTTCAGTCCTCCAAGATCCCCGCCGGACCTTTTTTCAGGACCCCGAGAGCACTGCTTTGACGGTTCTGAGAAGAAAAAAACAGGGGCCACAGTAAACAAGGTCCGACATCGGAGAAAACTCTGGAAGAAAAAGGAACAAACGGCAAAACAACAATCTGAGATCGCCCGGAAACCTGACGTTACGCGGTGCTGGAAGATTTCTGTTCCTCTGAACTGGACCCGATTTTGGTTGGGTCCCCACCTCACGGCGCGGAACGCGAAGCTCCGCCCCGAAGCTCCGCCGTCCGAAGCTGCCCTGCCCCTCTTGCGCCCGGGTACATGAAGCCGCCGAAGGGGGCATCTGGGGGCGCCCCATTGGGCCAGGCCCACATGAAAGGAGCCAAAGGCGTCAGCATCACTTTCTCCTGGCTGTTTAAAACACTCGAAGACGCGAACGGAAGGGAGCCAAAAAAAAGTGCGGAATCACGGAAGGGAGCCGACAAAAAGTGCGGAATCACTTCTGGACCCCAGTAGTAACACTGGCGAATGAACTGGCCAAAACAGGCACGCGCACGGAAGCTTTGAGTTCATAGTGGGGAATCCCTTTTGGAGGGGCCCCCACCCCTCACAAAAAAAACAGGCGGGTTGACTTTAACTCACTTCTTTGAGTGGAAGCCCCAAAAAAGGGTCCGAACTTTTGTTTATTTGCCGCCGTGGTTCAAACCCAAAAGAGTTGGAGGTCCGCGAACTCAGAGCTCTGTGGCGCAAAGAGGGTTGCGTCGAGCAAGGCTTCGTATGTCATAGGTCTTTGGACAATCGGATGGGGGTAACTGGAATAGAAAAAACCCATCTAAGCGTAGGTGTGTTTTACAATAGGGGACCCCCCCCCCCACAAGGGTGAATTTCCGGGTGGTTTCCCTCAAACCAGACCCACAAAGGGTACCCTGAAACAAAGCCGCAACCATATCAAGAATTGGATCTGGGTGATATGGATAAGGAAGTGGATCCAAAGAACTCAGAAGTGCAAAGACAGCCGCCTTCACTTTCCAAGCCTTGTGGGCAGGAAGCGAACTCAAACGCCAACCATAACTTAGCCCTTAAAACTCCAAGCCCTGAAAAAGTTAATATTTTACAGACATATAGCCCATGTTACCCAAAAAGTTGAGAAAAGTTGTGTTTTTTTAGAGGTAAAATAACAACCTGACACAAGTCATCAGCTTCAGCTTCAGCTTCCGAGGTACTTTGCTAACTGACACGGAGCCAGTTTGGAGCCCCAACGGGTCCGCAGAAGCGACTCCTCGTTGAACATGTTGAAAGTTTTGGGCAGGGATGTACAGGTTCATCAGCGATGATTCAAGGAAGCGAAAAGGGCATGATTGACGATCCTCCATTTGCTTCAGTCTCCTAGGCTCCTAGGGGGAGAAAACAAACACAAACAGTAGAGCTAGATTCTCTCTAAACCAACATAGAAGTTTTCAACATATTCGTAAGCGCATGACATGGAAGCTATTGAGGGCAACTAAATGAATCTGGACATGGTTGTGACAAATAGTTGTTTCCTCCCTTGATACTGAAAACGGGGCATCCCTATGGCATTGTCACTTTCAAGCAGATCCCCTGTTTTTGAGGGTACCCTCTGTGGGCTGTTAAAATGAAAAACCAATACAACACCGGTCCATTTTTTCTGGGGGGGTCCGATTCCAAAAAAAAACAGCACCAACACAACCAAAACAACTTGGCTAACACCACCCAAACAACCAAAACAATGGCTAGCACCCCCAAAACGATGAAAGCAATGGCTAACGCGGTTGGGCACATCCCGAGCTTGTGATCCGTCCACTTTGCCCGGCTCCAAGGCCTCCCTCACTCCCTCGGGCCCCATGGCCTTCTCATAATACTGGCTGTACTGGAGCACCAAAAGCTCTTCGCCTGACTGGGACTGTCCCCCTGACTACCTGAAGCTGGGGGGCTTAAGGGGGGATGGGGGGGGCCGAAGGGGGGGGCTGCAGGGGCGGCTGAAGGAAGGGCTTGAGGGGGGCTTACAGGCCATACGTCTCAAAATGGGATAAAAGAAATCTCACAGCTGGTGGCCCTTTCTCCCCTTTGAGGCTCCATTCAAATCAACCCAAAACGAGGAGTACCCGCCTGCATGGAGCCTCGGCCAACCAAGTGGGGGGTTTTAAGACACCACCCTGTTTGGGGCTGTCCCCTAACGAACACACCCATATTTCTCAGAATCCCCCAACCACCACCCCACCCGCTCTGTGCTTCCCTTACAACTACAGGGCAGCCTCCAGAAAAAGACGAACCCAAATGGGTGTGGATCTCTCAAAATCGAGGACCGGAACGGCGGAGTTGGGGTTTGTGTTTCAAAACTGGGAACAGAAGGGCTGCCCCATCAGCCGCAGCAATGAGCAGGAAACATCCAGAAACCCATCGATCTTTGATTCAGCTAGGTGGTAGAAACTGTATCAACTCGCCAAGTGGCGGTGCTTCGTCGCTCGACTGTGGCTTGAAATGGCCCCCCAGGAAAAAAAGAAAGGGAAAAAGGGGTCTGCCTTCTCTGCCTTCGAAAAAGGCCACGCCCTCAAAAAGGCAACACCCCCGACTTCGGGCCACCGCCAAAAAACGACCCACAGGGCTCCAGCGAAGTCCCGAAGTTCCCGGTCTAAGCCCGACAAAAGGCGCCTACTCCGTTGCCCTTCATCCAGAAGACGCCCTTCAGGGGGTCCGGGATCTTCTCAAAGACCCCGGGCACTTTGCTGGCCTCGTACCTGTCGCGAGCCTTTGATCTCAAACAGAGAAACCTGACCAAGAGGGTCCTCCAGAGAGCTTAGAATAAGTTGGTACCAACTTGTTCTGTCGTCTATTTTGCTAGGGGAACCCTCCCAACCAAAGGAAAGGGTGAGAAAGGGCACTACTGGGAGACCTATAGTTCCCTATGGAAGAAAAATAATAAAACGGGAGCGACGCCTTGACTCACGAAGGCCCCCTGCATGGGACCTGGGAACCACAAGGTTCACATTCTGAGGCCCCGAAGAATGGACCGAAAAGGGACAACTGAAAGCTGAAAGAGGTCGGCGTTGAACAACTCTTTGTTGAGACTCCGAGAGTCGAGAACTTGTCACATCCCGAAGTCTGCACAAGCAAAAATGGCCTGGATCCCATGCCACAAGTGAGTTCTTGCTTGGGGCCGGGGGCGGGGAAAAAGGGGAGGGGAGGCACCATGTTCAAAGAATTTGAACAGTTAGGCACACCAAAGAGCAGTCAAAACACCCAGCGCGTTGCCGCGATTGCACTGAGAGCTTCTCTCAAAGAGATCCGCTCCCTTTGGGCACATGATCTCCATCATGTCCCGTGCATTGGCGTAGCCAATGGTCAGGTCCGACTGCTCCCTGAAGAGTAACTTAGCCGCCAGAGACCCCTTGAAACGTCACCAAAAAGTATTCCCCTTGCAAAAATGTTGAAAGGTAATGCTACCATCCCAAATTTGGGAAGTGAGCCCGGCCCAACAAAAATCGGGGCGCGCTCCGATTTTTCCAGGAATCCTCGCCATGAATTTGTCCTTCCACAGGAAGATCCGGGCGCGGACCCTCCCAAGAAACTGGCAATCCCCGTTGCCCTCAGAAGACATGGACTCAAAATGGGCTGGGAGGGTAACCCAGTTAGGTCCCTCACCCTTCAACCAATTCACTTGGGACCTCCGAAAACGAACGGAAACCGCGAGAGAAGGCTTCGGCGCAAGCGCCGGACTTCCCTTGTCTCAATGGGTACCTTGCTGGTTCGATTGGCAGAAAATGAGGGAATGACCCCAAGAAAACCCATGTTTTTTTTGTGATTTCCTTTGAGGGAATCCCCAAAACCTGGTCTCGGTCATTCCCGACCTATCGCAGCAGCAAGTCGAGCTTGATAGGGCTACTAGGTCCTCCAGTAGAGAGGCTAGAATAAGGGTACGAACTTGTTCTGTAGTCTACTTTAGTAGACGAAAACCCTCCCAACCAAAAAAGTTGGGTTAAAAAGTTGGCACCTAGCTGGGGGACCTAGGAACCGGCTTGGGAAACGACCCGCGGTGATGCCCATGACGATGACGAGACGCCGTGGTGGGCCAAGGCCCGCGATCTTCCAGCCGGCCGAGCCTGCCGGGCTCGCAGGCAGGTTTGGGTCAAAATTGAGCCACCAGGAATTGGACCGCGGGCTTTTGGTCCTTGGCAACCCATTTACCCGGGCAACCCATTTTGGGTAGCGATTGTTGACACCCAAGAGGTTTTTTTGAAGTGGGTTAATTGACTGGAGGTTCCTTGCGATCGGTGCCAAATCGGGGAATGAGAAATGGAATGAACCCAGGAATTGGTCCCCTTGAAGGAAACCACCAGTTGGATGTACAAGGGGCATTCCATTTCTGATTCTCTGCATCTCTCGCACCAGCAAGCTGAAGCTCTCACTTCTCTAGGCACAAAATGCCACATGGAAGTGCGGGAAAACCTGTTTAGAATTCGGAAGAAGGAACCTGCGAGTCGAACCTTTGGAATCTTTCAATACTTGCGCTCGGCGCGAGACAAAAGATGACCTTCCAGGTTTTGGGCATGAACCAGTTTTGGTTGGATTCCCGCAAAGGAAACCATGGGCTTCTTCCGCGAATTCAGAAATTGTTCCAACGGCTGCAACTGGCCAAGGTATTTGACATGAAGAGCTTCGACTTTTCGGAATGGCGTCAAAAGCGGGTCAACCAAAACAGCGGATCACACGATTCCAATGGGGGAAACCCAACCAAAAACAAAAACATGAACTGAGACTAGAGGAATCCGGTTCTCCGACGTTTGGCAGAGTATCCATTTATGAGTGCAACCGGCAGTCTTGAAAGGACAACCCTATCCTATGATGCAGCTGGGTTGCGGAGTTCCCTTCATTTCTCCAATAAGGGAGTCTTCCGGAAGAAGGGCTTCCCTGAAATTTGCCCATCGTGTGAGGCTGCTTTTTTGCTAGGGGATTCACCATGTCACCATGAATTTGCATTTTGTGCGAGGAAGCGTCCATACTGTGGACAAGCCGGAAATGCTGCGTAAGCCAGAGGAACCAACCAGGTTTGAAGGTCCCGTATAACTTTACAGTCGCCTATATCCCTGTCGAATGTTGGGATTAACTCCAGAGGTGCTTTTTTTGCCTAGGGCTGGGTTTTTTGCATCCCCACCGGCGACACTTGGACCTAGGGCTCTGATTCAGTAGTTGGGAGTTGCTCGGGGCTGGTTTGGCTTGGATCTTACTGAGGGTGGGTGTTGGGTTGGTTTGGAGTTCATTCAGGCGCAAAGGGCTGACATCCACGCTGTTAGAACCAGCCCTAAGAAACACGATTGCACACCTCATCCGTTCGTTGATCCCCGGATAAAAAGGGGTTTAAACTGTCGGAGAGACATGTAACAAGCAACTCCAAACTTCAAAAGTCTAAGGCATGGCTCCGCACCACCTTGCGCAAAGTGGGTCTCTCTTTTGTGAGGGGACCACTTTTGTGGTTTTGAACAGAAATTCAAAGGAAAGCCACCCTCGTTGGGGGAACCCCTAGCAAACGACACACCCAAGTGGGTCAATTGACCAAACACATTTTTTGGCGTAGAACCCAGCGAAAGAAAGCGAGCGATCCTGAGGTCGCCATCTTTCCCCACAGTTCCCCCCCCAAACGAGACATCAGGGGAAAACACTCATATAGTCTATTGCAAATGTGCCAAAAATAGAACTTGGACTTCAAATTGTGTCTTTGGGCGTTGCCTTTCTTAAAAGATCCCCGGTTCTGGAAACACCCAAATTGCTGCAATAAGCACGCAGTAGTCCCGCCTTTCAAACAAAAATCTCCAGCAAGCGCCCTTCGCAACATGGACCCTCTTAACACAGAATTGATGACCTTACTGCACCCTCAACAAATCCAGCAGAAAAATTGTGATTGCCCAAAAGATCATGGTGGGCGCATTCCCTTTCTTTAATGCTGGTAGCCGCAGGCTGCAGGCTGAAAAAACGACTCACCGCTCCTTTCAACTTGCCAGAGATTCAGAGATGCCATCGGGAATGAGAGTTATGGAGTCTAAGCCCTAAAAAAGCAGAAGAAAAAACATCCCTTGCGGATGGTTTCTCCTTTTTTCGGGAATCCAACCAAAACCCTTGGCCCTGCAGCGATCGGTCATTCTCATTGGTGGTTTCTTCCTCGGAATGACCCTTGTATACCCCATCCCTTGCTGGTGGTTTCTCCATTACCGGTTCATGCCATTTCTAGGCTGGAATTAGGACCCCAGCAAAAAAATATATATGTTTGCCTGGTTCGTGGAAAACAAAACAAAAAAACCAAAAAGCCAACAAAAAAAAAACGCAAATTCAGGGGAGCCTATTTCTGGGGAAGAAATTTCTCGCTCTGAATCGATTTGGGTCCCGATCGCTCGATCTCTCCGAGTTTCTCTCCGAGCTGCGTGGCGCGGGTCACGTAGTCCGGGCGCTCCGGAAGCTTCCAGTACCCGTAGCTGACGCGTTTGGATTCGATCGATTCGATGGGATGGATCGTGGGTGCGGGTGGTTATTGGCCGGGCCAGATATCACCCCCCCAGAAAAAAAAGCGAAAGCAAGCGGCAACTGTTTGTTGTTTTTTGTTTAATTAATCATTTCAACATGTAAGTTGATGTAACATCAGGACACTTTGCGGAAGATGTGATGCAGTGTTCGGAAAAACTAAACAAGCACAGGTTGCGCAATGTGTTCTTTTAAGGCTAGGTAAGTGCAAGAGACTTGCCATGCAATTCATGGCGAGAATGCCGCTCGCTGATTTCTTTGAGGATTCCCTCGCGCGGATTTCGTGGCCCAAGGGTCTTCGGGAAATGGAGAACCCAAACGCGCGCGTCCTTCGTGAAAACAAATTGGACCAGGTGCCCCCGGTGGCTTCGATTTTCCTCACAAGGTGTCCCTAGCCAAAGAGAAGGGGGTACCGGGGCTCAAAAGAAGGCACGCTCAATCTCCAAATTTTCAGGAGCATCAAAAGACTCGGCGCACTCCTTGTTTGTAGTTTGGTGTGGGCGGAGTCTCTCAAGTAAAGACGCCATTCCATGAGGCACAGGGGAAAACCTCCGCCGAGAAAAGTTGAGAACAAGGGCTGGCGCCACCGGCGTCCTCTTCAGTCAGCTTCTAGCAGCTCCGAGCACCCCGAAAAAGACCGGCTCAACTAGCTTGCACCCGAAGGGCATCAAGAGATAAACTTCCTCTACATAATTAACATATGCCAGGTGTTTGGAGAGTACCTCTACCCCCCAAAAAAATGGCAAGTGTTTGGAGACTACCTCTACCCCCCAAAAAAATGGCAAGTGTTTGGAGAGTACCTCAACAAGCTTCAGAACCGGACAGATTGCAAAACCTTCCCAAGCCAAGAAGTTGTACCAAGCAGAATTGCAAAAAACAGTTGCTTTATGTCGGCCTCCCTTGTTTCACCAGGGTTCGCATCTCTTTTTTTTTTTTTGGGGGGGGGGGTCCATTAACTAAAAAAAACATATAGGCAACCCTTAGTTGGTGGCTTCGTTTGGAGGTTTGGATGTGGATTTGAACCCAAGGTTCAACTGAGGACCCCGTTCCAAGGCACGTGACGGTGGCATCGGTGTGGGTAAGCGGGTCTGTGGGTAAGCGGGTACTCCCCCGGTTTTTGGTGGTTTTAAGGGGAAGCCAAAAGAAGAAGCCACCAGTTTTGGGGAATCCCCTACAAAAAGACACGCTGTGTTTTTTGGGGCCACTCCCCTCTTGTTGTGTTTTTTAAAGGAAAAGGCACCATTCTTCGGGGGGTCCCCGACAAAAAGACACACCCATGTGTCTAAACCAAAATGGGGTTGACACTAAATCGCCCCTTTCAGTCCCGCGAAAGGAATGAAAATGGGACATGCTTGTTCCCATGAGCAGCAGGCCACAAAATAGAAACCATCGGAAGTTGGAACTGAAGTTCATGACAAGACAGACTGTTCACTTTTCATTCAATAATCGATGTTATCCCGAATACGCCTCGCTGGGTGAGCTTATCCACTATAGGTGACTCCTTCACTTTGGGAAGCCTTTAGTCAGGTTTGTTCATGTGGGGCCAACCTTCAAATAAATCATCGGGGGAGTGACCCATTGCAAGCAGAGGCTTCTCCTTGCTACCATCCGATTCATTCAGCGGTTGACATTGGTTGCGTATCCTCCGTATTTTTTTTGTCAAACCAGGTAGTCCGCCACACGGGCCGGTTGAAGTCCACGTGTCTTTCCAATGTTGCCTCCTCAGCCCCTCCAGATTCACACACCAAGCTGTGAGCACTCCCTCAGCAATCCAAAAATGCTCAAATTGCCCCCCTAAACCCAACCCCAACATCTCGAATTGTCCCTTTGCCCATGGGGACCCCATTTGACATTCCCCGAATGAATCTGACTGAAAATGATGGGGTCTTCGCCGAAGGAATTTTCCCCTCCCCCATCCCCTCTCCAGTTTCGAAGGCTCCCCCCCCTGCCAAATAATAATAATAATAATAATAATAAATAATAATAATAATAATAATAATAATAATACTAATACTAATAATAATAATAATAATAATAATAATAATAATAATAATAATAATAATAATAATAATAATAATAATAATAATAATAATAATAATAATAATAAAAACACGCCAGAAAATGCATTCCAGGAGTGTTAGAAAATGCATTCCAGGAGTGTTAGAAAATGCATTGCAGGAGTGTTCTCCCCCTCAAACTACATCTCGTCAAAGGGCGGATGGCTGGAACCACCAAGTATCCATTGCCTTTGCATTCGAATCGGTGGCATTCGAATCGGCAGAAGCTCGGTTCCCTTCCGAGAAAAAAAACAAAAACAAAATCACGGGGCCGTGGCCGTGGCTCAAAAAAGCGGTGGCAAAATGGCCACCCAAAAGGTATATCCCTAAGGCTCCAATTCGATGCTTTTTTGGGTCCTCAAAATGGGTTGTTTTCAAGGGCTCCTGAGGAATTGGTCCGGGTTCTTCATTGGAGGGTTCATGAGCCTTAGGGATGAAAACAAGACGAAAACTCGCAGTTTGCCCCAGCGTTTTTTTTTGAGCCGCAACCACGGATTTGTAACGAAGGCCCATGCTTGCAACTGGGCGCTAAATGCTGGGTCTATGTCCCATCCCCTGTTGGCTTCGCGGGAAAAAGAGTCTGGTCATTGAAACGGCAAACACGCCAAAAGGGTGTGGCTCAAAATTAAACAGGAGGGGTTACGCAGGTTTTGGTCCATGTTTCCACTTATACCAGGGCAACCCATTTTGGTACCGGTTTTTTCCCAGCCACGCGCTGGCATGACCATTTGACCTGCTCTATCCAGACGGTCCGGTCCTTCCCTGCCCTGGTGCCTCACGTCGCCATCAAGGTACTTGTCGATGAACTCGTCCGACACGTTACTGGCGCCAAGGCGATGATCGATATCCAGGCACTTGTGACTAGGCTTGAAGAGAGAGAAGGAGAAAGTGGGGGGTAATATCAAACCTAAACCTCAAACTCTTTTCCCGGCAACCAAAGAAAAGTGTGACTAGGCCCCTTGACTTACTGAGAGAAAGCAAATGTGTCTACTGTCGCTTCACTCCCCACTGTGAGTGTGCGGATAAACTTCTCATGTCAGCATTTGTCAGCGCAGCCTCACAAGGCCGGAACAGCATGGACCCAGCATGGATCAGAAGCCCAATGAGCCCAATCGGGACAAAGGAGGAAGTGAACATTTGCCACTCATTCATACTTAAACACCAAGCAAGTCACTTGGTTCTCTCCAACTCCAGTGGCAGTGCAACAGTCCCTGGGGCGCCTCTTCGAGGAATCGCCGCAACAGCATCCCGTGGACTGCACGGACTTGCTCTCCACCAGCGGTTGCTGCTCCATAGCTACGCGCTTGTTCGGTTTTTTTAAAAGCAGTCGACTAGTCCTAAAACGCGTTTGGAGAAGCTTGAAAAGCGGACGATGCAAGGCAGACATCGGGGGGACATCTCAAATTGTGATTGAGCAGGGCTCCTTACATTATACGCCTGAACATTGCCCTGTAAATGGTGGTGTCCCTTTATGTTGGTGGAAAAAGCCATGTTTCAAATGGGCAAAATGCATCTTTTAAGGAGCCCTGGTGAGACTTCCGAGGCTTCGGTTTCAAGTTGTACGAGGCGGTGACCCTGGTGTCACTGAGCCCAAACCGGGCGCGGAAGGATCAACTCAGGGAACCCTCGCAGGGGGAAAATCCCCCAGCCGTTTGTTTTTCTTGGTGAAACGACAAACGCCCAGGGTGTTTCGAGTTGTTTTACCCAGCCCCATACAGCTTGTGGTTCTTTTTTTGAGGAACACGCATCCGGGGTTCTTCGAACACACATCCGAAAGCTGCGGAATGAGAACCCTCGACTCCTCAGAGGTGCTCTTAGAAACATCCAGGTGGTCAGTGGTCACCCTCTACTTCCCCGGCGACTCCCTCACTTGATTGGGTGTTTCAAGTCCCCAACCCCGGCTTCTTTGGTTTTTGGGTGAAGAGACCCTTCACATCAGAGGTGCCCTTTGTCGTTTCAAGTGCCCAACCCCAGCACCCCGCTTGGACACCATGATCGATCAGGGCCCCAGGTCCCTATGAACCCCCCCCCAAAAGAAAAGAAAGAAGAAAACAACGAGAGTTCTCAAAAAAAAAAAAAACAGAACACAAGAAAACTGGGGCCCTCAGAAAAATCACCCCCCAAAGATTCCCGGCTCTGGAAAGAAAACAGATCCAATGAACACCAGGTGGTCCGCAATGGCCTAGTCGCTTTGTTGCCATTCAGACATGGTTCCTCTTGTCTTTGAGTCGTACGGGCGGTGCTTGTTTTGGAATGTGCCGCCTTTTTTTAAAGTCTGTTTCAAAGGCAAACCAAAGAACAGCCGGCCCTTGTGGAGGAAAACCGATCAAAAGCAACACCCCTTGTGGATTGGTAGAGTGCCACGGCATCTGTCCAACGACCCGTTTAGCCGCAAGGCGGAGTAGCGGAGTCACCGCAAACCATCCATCCAGACCTGACTCGAAGCGATGGGGCTTCATTGTATCAGGTATGTCGGCCCTTTCCTCACATATAAGGTCTGTTGCAAGGAAGTGATCTGTTGTATCTGGTACCTTGTGATGGCCCTGAATCAGACCTGATCATTCCCTTTCCTCACATATACTTATCAGATCACTTCCCCATACATATAACCTCCAGCTCTGAATGTACCTCAGCTTTGCCCGCCAAAACGCAACGCTCCGCATGTCGAAAAACCTGAAGGAGAACTAGGTCCTCCAGTAGAGAGGTTTGAATAAGTTGGTTTAATGGACGAAAACTCGGCCAACCAAAGTAGTTGGCGAGAAAGTTGGCACCTGGGGGACCTAGACATTCAACCCGCTCCCTAGACAGGGATCCGAATCTTTTCAGGAAACCATCAAGAACCCAGGGAAACAGCTCCGGTTTTTGTAAAAGACCGATGGCTAAAAAAGAAAGGAAGAGGAAGCAACCCCTAGAAAGAGAAACAAAAAAACACCTCACCGCCTCTCTCCTCACCTCACTTCACTCACTCCCAAGGCCTGCCGGGAAGTCTCAATGTGCCTGGCCGCGGCTCTCTCTCTCTCTCTCTCTCTCTCTCTCTCTCTCTCTCTCTCTCTCTTCAGTCTCAGGGGAGGGTCCCTTGGTCACCAAAAAAACAAAAATCAGCCCAGGTGGCACTGTGCATAGACGAAACCCGGTATGAAAATGGTGAGTCAGAATAATGTCCAGTATGGTGCTCAAGACTTCAAAAGGACATTGGATTGGTATATAAAAAAAAACAACAGATAAGCCCCAGGTGAGTCAGACTCAAAACCAGGGAAGTCCTTTTCTCTTTGCGGGTGGGAGGGAGGGGGGGGGAATTCAACACATATGGTATAAAAATGGGCACAACCCAGAACCATGCTTCAAGAATTACTGTAAGAAGGCGGATATCCGAAGCTATTTCTGGGTGGGATCGTCCCTTACTAACCTTCATCTACCCCTGCTTTGATTGTGGCTCAGGTGGTATGGTGGATAGACGAAGTCCATTTCGCACCATCTAAGAACCCCGGTTCCTGATGATTCCCCTGCAAATACCAACAAACCAGGGTTTCAAGCGAACGGATTTCGTCCATCTTCCTGTTGAACCCACCTTGAAAGCTGCCCCAAACCAGCACCGAGCCCATCTGGGGCCTAGCGATCCCATAGCTTGCAGCTGTTGGGGAAAAGAAAACTAAAGCCAGCTGCTCCACCTCCATTTGTTTAAAAAGTTTAAGTCCTCTAAATGAGGACATATTTCCACTAGCGATAGATTCCCTTTAAAACCAACAGGGGAAAGCTGTTGAAACCTTTCTCAAGCAAATGGAAGACCATGTTTGAAGACCCCAATTCCCCTCAACAAGCACCAGGGGTTCAAATCCTGCGTTTCAAAACCCGGCAAGCAGCTTGATTCTCAAAATTTGCCCCAAGTGAGCCGTTCCCAACTTCGAAGCCCCTTCTGCTGGAAGTGAGGCCAACAAAAAATTCACGCCACGCGCCTTCCGATGCATCATTTGATTTCACTTGCGGGGCCCCGGTGCGAGAGATGGGAATGAGAGGTTTGGAGTCTGACCCCGAAACCATCCAACTGGTCTAGGTCCTCCAGAGGATAGAATAAGGGTACCAACTTTTTTCTGTAGTCTATTTTAGTAGAAGCCTCCCAACCAAAAAAGGGCCGAAAAAGCGCACCTAACTGGGGGACCTAGTGGTGGTGTCCTTTAAGCAACACCAATTCCTGGGTTCATCGCACCGATCGCAAGTTCAAATCTGAGCTAAGCTGATGCGATGGCAACACTGGAGACCTCCGATTCAGAGAAGACCAGCAGAATTATGTGTGTATATGGTACCCCCCCCCCCCATGGACCCTGGTTTTGTGAGTTCTGTTTTTTCCAGTGTTTTATACCTGTATATTCATTTCAGCAAAAAGGAGTCCGCACATATATATATATATATATATTTATCAATTTCAGGAGGTGAGGAGGAAAAACGAACTCACCGTCCCGGGTTGAGTTCAGGAGGTGAGGAGGAAAAACGAACTCACCGTCCCGGGTTGAGAGACAGCCATAAAGAGACACCTCAGGAATGCCCAGCCTGGTGTTGGAGACCTTGAAAACATATTTGCTGATCTTCCATTTGCTTCTTCGCCCCCTGGAAAAAAAACGGAAATATGTCCAGTAGTGATAGATTGCCGTTAAAACTAACAGGAGGAAAACAAAAGTGAGCAAGTGGAAGTGATGGGAAAAGCAAGAGGTGAAGGATGCTTTGCCAGCGCTTTCAGACGAAGCGTGTCCGCTATGCTTGAGGAACAACGCAAGTCCCCGCATCGGCAGAACGCCTCCATAATAAGGTAAAGCATCGGATGTAGAGCAACATCTTAAGAGTGAGTGACGTTGACACTTCGCGTGACGTGGACGGATGTGGACAACACCAAACCGAGCACATGAATATAAGGTATCCGAAGAGGATATCAGCAACTCACTTCTTGAGTGATTTGTTTGCCACTAAAGGTTTCTTCCCAAAAACGCAACTGACGCATACAGTCCAGGAACTCAGGGAGTGGGGCGAGAAAATGTAAACTTCGGATAAATTGGGATCTTCTCAATCAAAGGAATCCGCAAAGCAACTTCGAACTTCCGAACGTGGATATCACTGACGAAAGTAACACCCCTGACTAATGAATAGGTCGAGTTGGAAGAAAAAGCCGCTTCCTGGTTGTAGAAAGAAGGATATGGTCATGACTGGTGCAGATTGATCATTGGCACGTTGAGCAGTTGTATGCATTAGCTTTCGGCGAGTGCGAAGCTGCCAGCAAACTGATTTCTCCTGAGTCATTCAATTCATTAATTTTTAACACCGCGGGAGTGAAAACAAACAGAAATCCAAAGAAAGAGGATGAACAGGGAGCCAACCCCTACCGTTATGTCTGCAAAAGGTCGACAATCAAAACCGCTAGGGATCTGCGTCAAGCCCGGAAATCAAGCAATTCGGCCTTTCGAGCGCGGAGAAAAAAAATGGGAAAAAGGGGGAAAACAAAAAAAAAACGAAAAACAAAACAAAAAAAAGAAGAAGGAAAAAAGGGGAAAACAAAAACGCCAAGCCACATCATGGCGCAGAAGATCCGGGGCGGCTCTTGCGAGTCGGAGGGCGCCGCAGCGACCTGTCGAAAGCGCCGAGAAAAACCACAGGGGCCCCCTGCTTGAAGGGGGCGATCGATTCGGGACGCCAGGTAAGTGGGTATTAACCAAGGTGAGATAGCTCACAAAAGCCATGCTTATAAGTTATAAGTCTCCTTAGTGGGTTATAACCAGGCTTACTAACCACTTCCAGTAAGTACCCTGCCCCTTCAAGCATATTTCCCCTCTGAACAGAAGATCACCCAAGAAGAACACTCACTTTACACTGGCCCACCAGAAGGCGATGCTTAAAGGCACCAAAATAATCAATGGTCTGGACCCCCATTCCCGAGCCTTCTCGAGGATGCCATGTCTTCTCAAAAAAGGAAAACAAGAAAAGGGACGATGGCCTCGCGAGAGCACGGTGCCCAAGTTTACTAAGAGGTACCCTCCTTTTTGCACGTGATTTTCCCAGGGTCATAGTAATTACCTTCTCACCTTGTTGAGGGGGGGGAGCACGCAAAACTTGGGGCGCGCGCGCCCCGAATCCGGCAAAACGTAGAAGAAATTCGGGGACTCCAAACCACCCCAGCCAGCCAACCAGCCAAGCAGCAAGCCCATGATCTGGCTCTCAGTAGGGAACCGGGGTTTTGGGAGTGGGATCCCCAGGCGTCTATTTTGGATGGCTCATGGGGGTCGCAGAAGATCGCAGAAGCTACAGGGGTGGAAGAGGAAACTGATACTTAGGAGGTCTGAATAACAAACTCGCTTTGAAGCAGGGCGCAAACCTGCAAAAGCCAGATGAAGAAGATGAACATGCCAGGAATCGACCTGTTTGAGTGCGCAAAATCCATCGACTGCTGAACCAACTAACATGTATATCAAGGTGTATAATCACACGCCTTGCTATATAACCTCTGTAAAACGACGGTAATTAATAGAACTCAAAATGGCCAAACAGCCGACCGACCGACCCGACCCGACCCGACCCGACCCGACCCGACCCGACCCGACCCGACCCGACCCGACCCGACCCGACCCGACCCGACCCGACCCGACCCGACCCGACCCGACCCGACCCGACCCGACCCGACCCGACCCGGCCAACCCAACCAACCCAACCCACCACAAAACCAAACCAACCACCGAACCAACCGAACACAACCAAACCAACCAAACCAACCAACCAACCAAACAAACCAAGCAAACCAACCAACTAACCAAACCAACCAACTAATCAATCAACGAAGCAAGCAAGCAAGCAAGCAAGCCAGCCAGCCAGCCAGCCAGCCAGCCAGCCAACCAACTCTTAAAAAGATACGCCACCCATTCGTCCAAAACAGAATTTGAGAGAAGCAACAACTACAGGGTGTTCAACCAAAGACGTGGCTTTATCTAGTCACTCACGCCATGAAGCCGAAACAAACAGCTAGTTTCTTTCAAACATCAAGATGAGACACGCCCATATCTTCCCACCCACCCTGTAGCATTGGGAATAACCCTAGCAAATTCCTTTCGCTTCCCGTATAAACCAACCTGAAAAGGGTGCATCAAACAGCAAGAGAAAGAAACAACGCCGTCCCGCATTCAGACAACATGAAATAAAACGTGGCAAAACAAAATGGGTATTAATCCATGTCTCAAAAACAACTCGATTTGAACCCAAAAGCGGGCGAATCGCACGCACCCCAGTCCTCCCCATTCCTCCCTTCCTCCATTCCTCCCCCCACCCACCCCCCCCCCCCCATCGTCGCCTGACTCAGGCGCCGTCGGTTCAGCTCGCTCAGCGGCCCCGCGGCGGGGGCGCCCAGCAGCGCCAGCAGCACCGCCACCGCGCCGCAGAGCGCGGAGCTCCAGCCTCGCGGTTCGGCGGTGCGGCTTCTGCAGGTCACTTAGTCTGGGTCCTCCGGATTTGAGGGGTTAGGATAAGTTGGCACCAACTTCTTTCTGTCTGTTTTAGTGGGGGAACCCTACCAACCAAAAACGGGTAAAAGGGCACTGGGGTGCAATGGGGGGTATGGGGGGGGGGAGGGGGGAGAAGATTTTGATCCGTGGATCCGATTTGGTCGGTTTCAGTGGGGAGGGGGCAGAGCTCCAGCAGTCATAGGAAATGTGCTAGCTTTGTCCTGACCCAGCTCTAAAATCTGGTTAAAGCCTCTTCAGCGCAATTGTTGGCATCGCAGGGTTTATCAAAATAGCACGGATTTATCCGGACATGTGCCTAAATGGGGTCAATACCCAGTGGGTGTATTCCCAGGTTGTAGTAAACAAACCCATAGATTATCTGCTCATTGTTTCTTTTAAACTCCAGTAAAGAACGGCCACTTCCAGCGGTTTGGGGGCCGGATCCGATGAGAAATTGGGGGGTGCCCGTGCCCGTTCGGTCGGTTTCAGTCGGGGGGGGGAAGGTATTCACTTTTGGAGGGGAAGAAAAGCCCTCCCTATATGTTTGCTATATTTTTGGAAACAAAAGGATGAATTGATAGGGGTGCGTTCACTTTTGGAGGGGGTAAAAGCCCCTCCCAATTTGATGTTGAAGCAACAAAAGGCGGGGGTGATGAATTGGGGTCATGCTGTTGACTGTTTCTAGGGGGTTAAAGTCAGAAAGCGGTTCGTGGTGTCCCTTCAACCTACCACTTGGTGACTTTGAGAAGAGTAAAGTAATGGGGCCAGTTTCAGTGGGGTTTATCACTTTTAGAGGCGAACACCCTTGAAGCCATGAACCCTTTCATTGGGGAAAGGTCCAGCTTGGGACCCGGGTGCTGGGCTCGGGCTTCTTGATTCCGCCCTCAAGAAAATCAAAGTCTAGGTTTTTTTGAGTGGAGAAGTTAGAATAAGGATACCAACTTGTTTTTCTGTAGTCTAGGTCCTCCAGTAGAGAATTTTTAGAATAAGGCTGCCCTTGTTTTTCGGTAGTCTATTTGAGTAGGGGAACCCTCCCCCAAAAAAGGGGTGAGACAGGGCACCTAGCCGGGGGACCTAGTTATAGTTGTCAGAAGACGGACTACTTGCCTCTGAAGACAAGGGCTGGGCTCATGTCTTCAGTTTCCTGCGATGCCAACCACTGCGCATCGCAGAGAAAGATGTTAAGGAAGGCGGCGTGAGGGTGAGAGAGAACATCCCCCCGGCCCCCTACCTTAAGAAAAGGAATGAAAAAAGCACACAACGTGAATTCCGTGGTCAACCCCCTCCCCAATTCCATTCCACCTGGGATAGACAGAGGATAGGCGCAGCTGCTTTCTCCTGACCCCATCCAAAAACACCCTGTACAAAAAGTTAGTTCTACAATCCCCCCACCCCATGATTAGAGTTAGGCCCAGTTGTAGAATGTATATTCTATTGTTTGCTTCACATGGAGTCACTGATAAAATGTAAAACGTATCCTAAGTCTACCCCCCCCCCCCCCGAAAAGAAACAAAAAACTGGGCGCCCCTTTAGTCCCATCTTCCAATGCCCAAAACCCCCCCTCCCCCCCCAGTTCCTCCTGGCCTAGCCGAATCATCTCAACCCGAACCCCCTGTCCGACCCTTCTTCCCTTCTTTTGCAGACTCATTCTCACATTCTAACAGCCATTTGACTTCCTTTAGCTTCCTTTACGATCCTGTTGCTTCCTTGACTTTCCTCTACCTTCCTTTAGCATGCGTTGACTTCCTTTAGCTGCCTTCCCTAAACTTCTTTCCTTTTGCCTTCTTTCGACTCCTGTACCTTCCCTAAATATTGCAGTCACTCCCCTTGAAGCCTTCTGGCTGTGGCTCCAAACATGGTGCTCAACATGGTCCTTCGGTAACTCAGAAAATCCGCCCATCGGACCGAATCGGCCGGGTGTCCGGGCCAATGGCTTCGGGGCTGAGGCCCTTGGACGTGAAGGCCTCGATGCTCCGATCAGCGATCGGCGATCGGAGCGATCGGCGAATTTTCGGGGGCGACTCGCTGGGCCAAGCGGAAACAAATCTCAAAAATGGGGGGATCGACCAGGTATGGGCCTTCGGGTATCCAACCAACCATCCAACCAACCAACCAGCCAACCATCCAACCAACCATCCATCCAACCAACCAACCAACCGACCGACCGACCGACCGACCCACCAACCAACCGACCGAGCGACCCGACCGACCTACCCACCAACCAACCAACCCGAACCACCGACCGACCGACCCACCGACCCACCCACCCACCCACCCACCCCCCCACCCACCCACCCACCCCAACCCACCCACCCACCCACCCACCCACCAACCAACCAACCAACCAACCAACCAACCAACCAACCAACCAACCAACCAACCAACAACCCAGCCCTACAAAACAAAAAACAGCCCTAGGAAATACATACGTAATAAAAATGACAATAATAAACGTATCCCCTTTGGGGGGGTTCTATTTAAACATGTTGAGGCATCAATCTGCATGTTTTACAATAACATTGCCAACACCTGAAATAAGAATTGGATCCCCAAGCAAAGGAACCTTAGCATGGTGAGCTCGGCTTACCCCGGGGGAACCTCAAGGACATTTGAATCACCATCAACATCGTTCAGTATCAAAATGGTCTACGAACCACGTAAAGAATCAAAACGGCGGCTGCACAATGCTTGGGACCATCCCTTACTACTCCTCATCTATACCAGGGTTTTGATCGTGGCTCATTTGGGCCCTTTTCGGATGGTTCTAAAGGGAAACCAAAAGTAAAACACCCAGAAAAGTCTTCAGTTTTAAGAAACATCTGTGTCCAACCCTATGGTAGCAAGCAACTTGAAGTGTTTTTCAGCCCACGACTCAAACTATGAACGGAGCCAAACAAAAAAAGAACATGCCAACAGTGAAGAACTTTTGCTGCAGGTGGAGTCATGTTCACCAACCACTTTGGGATCGGTTCCCGATTGAAATTCATAGCACGGGAAATTGGCATCTCGGGTGTTCCTCCCAATAGTGCGTGATTGCATTTGAAATGGGACACATACACACACGGGGAAAAAATACTCCAGGGGGTTATTCAGCGGAATTAACCATATCTTTGGGGGCCCAAAAACTGAGGCTGTCCCTTTGGTGTCCCTTTCAAACTACCCCAAATGAGCAACCTCAAAAACAAACGAACAAACAAACAAACGAACGAAACGAACAAGCAAACACAAACAAGCAAACAAAACGAACAAACAAACAAACAAACAAACAAACAAACAAACAAACAAAAAAAGAAAACAAACAAACAATCAAGCAAGCAAACAAAACAAACCAACACAAACACAGACACAAACACAGACACAAACACAATCCACACACACACACAGAGAGAGACACGACACACACAAAACAAAACGAAGGTACAGGGAAGCGGCGCCCTGCCTTCGGGTGTGGCTGCACCTCAGGCAGCACGTGCCACAAGAGCAGTGCCAGAATGCAGGCGACCACCACGTCCACCGACAAGTGGCTGCGACTCTGGACCTGAGAAGGGAGTATTTTTTCCGGAAAACTCCGGTGGCACTGGATTAGAGCCAATTGAAATCAGGGCCATGTACATAGGTGGCCTTTTGGAAAATGTGATGAGTTCCCCTGGTAAATGGAACAGAACCCATCTAAACCAGTGGAACCCATCTATTTTTAACCAGTGCCAGCTATTTTTAACCTAGACCTGAGAATCAAAGGGTTGGGTTACAGGCAAAATCTACCGGAAATGGCCCCAAAACACCCTGGATCAGCTGTTTTCCTTTAGAATTTCCTGTAAGTTACAGGAAATTCTAAAGGAAAACAGCTGATCTATGGTGTTTTGGGGCCATTTCCTGTAGAATTTCCTGTAACCCAACCCTTTGAGAGAAGGGAGTGAGGGTTGCCGTTTGCCGTATGTGGCTGTGGGTCAAAATAGGTACCCAGAACCGGTAAATGGAAACATGGACCTGCGGTCCAATTCCTGGTGGGTTGATTTTGACCCATACCCATGTGACTTTTGGATATCCTCAAAGGGTTTGGATTGTTTTGGACTTGAAGCCCTGGTTCTTGGATTCTTGAGGAATGGGACGCCGGCAGTGAATGCTGACTTCGGATTTGGAGGAGCCTACTAGCCAAAGGAACCCCCTACACTCCCTTCCACTTTGCCACGGCACCTGACAGATCCCTCCAAGAGGAAAATGATCTTCTAGGTAGCTTTCCAGAGTTGTGGGAGTCTACCCGTTTTTAGGCACAACAGGAAGGCCCATACCCTATGTTCCACACATCGCAGCTTGCAGGGGCCTTGCTACCCCCCTTGCGCAAGCTCCAAAAGGTGCAGGGTGTCTGAAAAAAGGACACCATGTTTTTTTGGGTGGAGGTGGGTATGCTATTTTGACACTTGCCCAAGTGTCAAAGAAGGCTAACACTAAAAGGTCAGAAAGATTCCTTGGATAAAAACATCATGCTCATTCTGGCCGAGCCAGGCTTGGCAGAAAGCCCGTTTCAAAAAGCCTCCCTTCGGTAGCCAAACCAACGCATGTTCAGCACACCAATCGTGTGTTTGCCTTCTGAAACACCCAGACCCCCTTCCCCAAACCACTTTCCCCTTCTCCCAAGTTGAAGCTGGCCCCAAAAACAGAAGCCCCAGCTGGCCCAAGCTTCTTATTTCGGAGGAGGGTCCAAGCCCCAACCCAAACGCCGCCCCTTGCGCCCCAAAGCGCCGTACCTCGGTTACCTCGGGGGGCCGAGCGGTGGGGCGCCCCGCGAAGCCGAGCGGCGATGCGCAGAAAGGCGTGGCCCAGCCGGCCTCGATCCAGGCGATGGCGAGGGGCGAGGAGGCGAGGGCGTTGTTTTTTGCATGTTGGCATTCTAGGGCTTCCACCCAGCAAAGGAAGAACAGGGATCCTTACATGAAAAAACGCCTGAACCTTGCAACTTGTCTATTTGGTGGTGTCCAACTGTAGTGTGGTTGTCCCTTTATTTTGGGGGATCAGCCCCATGAGCGCCTCGATGTGAGGCCCACTCACTCAAAGGGCCCAAGCAAAGGGCCATGGTAGGTGAAGATTGTTGTTGAAGAAACTTGATGGGCCCAGGCAAATGCTCAGATGCCCAGTGGATTTCCATGGGAAAAAAAGAATCGGCATCCCTTTTGGTTGGTTGAGTTTCAATGGGGAAGCCTTACCCAAAAAAAGGGCAAAAAAAGGCGCCACTGGGCAAGTGGAAACCAAATATGGGGGTTCAATATTCCGTTCCCCCAAATGACCATGGTTAACTTTTCCCATTTGGAGTGGGAAGTCTCATCTTCTTGCTGGTTTTCCCCAACAGTCATCCGGTGTAATGGACCTTTGGATCAACCCCCGTATGGGCCTCTGGGTATCAATTCTCAAAATGGGCCAATTTGGGGTTTCTGCTCCAAAAAATGAAAAGGGGTATCAATCTGCAAACTTGACAATTCCAAAACCTGAAATAAGAACTGGATCCCAAGAAAAAAGGATATTGATCATGGCCTTTGCTCGTTTTACCCTCGATCGGTGAGCTCGCCCATAAGATACACAGACAAATGGGTGGCTTCTCTTTAGGGCCTCTTAAGGACCCCACAGCCCCCTCCCCGAAATGGGTGGGAACTCCGCCATTGGGGGCCCATTTTTGCCAACTGCTTGCTACTTGGTACACATCGAAACGTCCGCGCCCAGTTCTGCCAGTTTTTTGTTCTTCGGTATTGTCAGCGACTCATGTGGTTCGCTTCCCTCGGATTGTGACTATTTGGAGCGATACCCCAAACGAGAAAGGGCCGCTCCAACCAATTTCCTCCTTTCTCAGCTTCCGTGGTTCGGCGGTTGGGGGGTGGTTTCCCATTCACCCTCAAGAACCAGGGGTCCCAAATCCAAATCCAAACATCCAAATCAGCAACCAAGAGAGATACCTCACATTCAAAAGGAAGCTACTAGCACCCCCCCCCCCAAAAAAAAAAAAGAGAGGCAAACTTGAGCCGCCAGCTTCGGCCTGTATCCCAGGGTTTGAAAAAAGGGAACCAAAATGGGTATGGGGTTCAAAATGAACCCGCCAGACCGGCAGGTGTCCATTTGCCAGGGACCCAGTTTAGGGGTTACCCATTTGCGAACCCACACCCATATGAAAAGAAACGCGAAGCCGCCCTTAACGCGCGCAAATGACCTTCTCTGGCACTCATCTACCCAATTGTGGGTCAAAAACGACCATGGCACACAGAATCCCGCATTTTTGTCAGCCGCATGTCAGCGCCCAACGGCCATGGGGAAAAAGTACCACCGTCTGCTTGGCCGATTTCAGGAAGCTCAAAAGATGGGATGAGGCACGTCACCGATGGGCAGCCGGAACCGGGTTGCAGGGTTACCTTTTGTAAGACTCTCAAAGGCTTGGATGGGTCCATATACCAACCCATGGCCATGGACCCTCTTGGGAACCTTTCCCTGTGGCCATGACTAACGGCTACCCACAAACTTGTGATCAATACCAGGAGTGCATACATGGCCACGGGGTCAAAAGCCACATCGTACCCTCAGTGAACGTCCCAATCCACTAAAATAGGTTCTAAATTGGGTGGTGAATTCACCTACTCCAAAATGGGATCGGTACCAAAACGGTTTTGACACCAGCCATATGGACGGTTATCCCTTCAGCCTCAGCCATCATGGGTACATAGGTGTCCTTTTCGGTTGGTTTTGGGGTAGAAACATCGATGGCGATTCCTGGAGAACACCTGGTGGCTTCATCATCTAGGCCCATCTCATTTCCCCTGAAAGGACACCCAGATTGATGGGTACCCCGACCTTTCCCGAGCCGAGCCGCCCCAAAGGAAGGCGACCAGCCAACGGGGCGCGCCCAAGTCCTCAGCGATTCAACTTGGGAGCCCTGAGAACCACCTGTGGACATAGGTGTCCCTTTGGAAAGATAGATTGGTTCCCCTGGTAAATGGAATCAAACCCATCTAAACCGGTGGGACCCTTCCATCTTTAACCAAACTAATCTAAAAGGGATACCTGTGACTGTGGATTTTTGATGCGCTTTGATCTTAGTGCATGGATCACAGGATCCAGCGTTCAGCGTTGCACCGGACATGATCCTGTGAGAACGCACTGTGGATGGTTGCGAGGCCCCCGAGACCGCCACTTCAAACAAATGGTGGAAACCATTGTTGGTTGGTACAGGGGAATCATTGTTCTATGGTTTCTCAGGTGATGCGACATGGATTTCGCCCATCCACGGTAGGTACCCTCCCTCCAGCTATAGCACCTGAGAGAGTTCCTTCAAGAGGAAATTGATCTTTCAGGTACCCTCCAGGTGCTTGGTTAGTGGGAGGAAGGGTGACCTTTTGGGAAAAATAGACGGGTTCTCCTGGTAAATGGATGGCATAAAACCCATCTAAACCAGCAGACAAATCATCTAATTCTTTGCAAACTCACCTGCACGGGACGTCTTTGATTTGTGAACTTCGGATTGATCCGGGTAAAACCGTGCCAATCAGGGGTTGAAAACAAGCTCTTGCTGATGAAATGATATATCTTGGTTGCTCTGTAAAGTGGGATCCTCCAGAGTAACCCGAAGTGAAAAGGTACTGTGCTCCCGTTTGGATAGATGAAAGTGGCGGAAATGGCGCTTGTAGAGGCGGCAATGTGCAACCTGCGAGGTTGCAAGCATGGCACAGAGAGTGGAGTTCAAATCAATTTTATTCACATATACATAGTGCAGGAAGGTGGCAAGAGAGTAGATATGCTGGCGGCATCCGCCAATCACAGCTTCTTATGATGTCCAGCAGTGGCAAAATAATTACCATGGCCTGTGCGCGTGTTGCCAAGCAGAAAGCTCGTCGCAAGTTTGGGCGGTCCACCACGTTCTCTGTACCCAGTTGCCACTGTGGCAGAGCTGTTGCAACGGTTTGCCCTGGCTAGAGAATGGTAGTTGGAAGGTCATCGAACACTCATGGGCATATGGCGGTAAAAAAAAGTTAAGAGGCCACCAACCTTGACCATTTCCAATGGCTTTGGAGGTATGGATTCGTACCACCAATGAAGGCTTGTGACGCAGAGAACCTGATGTCGCCGGACTCATACCCCGCTGGCCTCTAGTTGTTGAATGGTGGTCCCCTTGTAGTAGGAATCCGGATCACTTTTGCGAGTCCCGGCACCCCCCGCAAAACAGTTAAACAAAAGGGGGACGGGTGCTACTTAGATCCTGGGGTCGACATTAAGGGTTCATGGTTTCACCCCATGCCTTTCATCGAATCCGTTTAAAAACCAACCAAAAAAAAACCGAGCACCCTCAAAAAACGCCACACCCATGTAGATTATAAGCTCCATACCTCCAAAGCTCGGACAGTCCCTTGAATCTGAGGTCTCAGCCTCAAGAGCTTGGCTCCATGCATGCCTTATGTAGCCTACAGAGGAAATCTCGAGATCGACCAGGGAATCACCACAAACAGCTTCACCTGGCTCCCGAAACGCGGCTAGCCCTCCTCCCACCGTCAGATCTCGGCAAACTATTATAATTAGTAAACAGGAAATACACCATCTTGATGGGTGAGATATGGTGAGTTTGTTTTACCCCCAGTAAGCCCGTGACATATTGCGTGACAGCGTAATCAGCGGCCAAATAGTTAATCATAGCCTATGTCTATCAACACTGAAAATGGTTTCATACCCCGCAACGCCATTCGAGTTATCTAGGCCCTGATTCAGACCGTCTATCACTGGCGAGGTCATTCAGGGTTCAAACCCCCGGAGGTGCACCCAATTTCGATTCCAATCCTTAAATGGGTGTGGGTCAAAATTAAACCACCAGGGGACCGCAGGTTTTGGTCCATGTTGCCATTTACCAAGGTTCCATTTTGGGTACCCATTTTTGACCCACAGCCAAATACATAATGGCGGATCTACAAACACCCATAATCCGAAGGTCCTGAGGACCCTCAAATGGTTTCGCTTTTGGCTTCCTTTAATACCACAAGGGGAACCTCACAAAGCACGCAAGGAAATTGAAGCTGGCTGTTTTCAGCTTCCCCCGGATTTGTCCAGACCCCCCAACCACACTGAGAACTGCAAGGCATATTGGCTTGAATATGGGAGCCATAATCCAAACCTGGGTAAGTGAAGGCGGGTCATGGTCACGCGGCCAAATGAAACCAGTTCTCAGCCCGGGGGACTGCGTGCATCAGCACGGTGAAGGTCAGCACTGAGGCGTGGCCGCTGAAGATAAGGTCGTTGCAACCGCCGCCTCTCGTGAAAAAAACAGACCAAAACAAAAAGCAAAAAGTGGATGCTCATTGGAGAAAAACGAAAAACAAGCGCACTCCAAAAAAAGCGGTACCCCGAACTATGTTTGTTGAAAACGAAAGACATGTTTCGACTCTTTGGGTTCATCTAGGTCCTCCAGTAGAGAGGTTTGAATAAGGGTACCATTTTTTTCTGTAGTCTATTTTAGCAGGAGAACCCTCCCAACCACAAGGTAAAAGGGCCCTGGGGGACCTAGTCATGTTGCAGATGCGTCTTTCAGCGAGCTCAAGCTGGAGTCTCGGAGGCCTGAGGAAGTCGGAAGGATCTCATCCCTGTGGGCCAACGAAAGCATCAAAAAGAATGCTCAAGGCATTCAAAAGGGGTTTTAATCTGGTACTAAATGTAACCGGTTTTCGTTGCCAAAATGGTCCAAACCCCGAAAAGTGACTCGAAAGTCCATGGCTGGAGGTGAGACAAGAGATGGAGGTCACGCGGGTTCCATTGAGAACCAAGAACGATGGCCGTCTAAGACCCAGGGTAGAAGTGAGGGAAACCACACCCATCTGTTCGGCTCGGAACCCTGAGATGATTCATTCTCGCGGCTCCCAAGGAACCCTGGCTTCCATTTGCTTAAGTCCCCAGGAAAAGAAGAAGTAGCGATTCCCGTGAAAGACCAACTGAAAAAGTATAACATATTCTTGAGCAAATGGAAGTCACGGTTGTTTGTGGGGGGCGGGGCCATCACAACAAACAAAATGTGTCAGCTCAACTCGCCAGCATCGGGATGCTCGCTTCAGATTCGAGCTCAGAGCCGTATAGCCGTATAGCTGCTTTGAGCAAGCCAGCACTCAAATCCTGTGCAGTTCAGCACCTACTTCTGGAACAAAACCTGTTGATTTCCATGACTACTCCATGGTCTGATTTTAGGGCAAGTATTTCTGATGGCGAAGGGAATTCCCATCCAGGTGATGGACGATTTGTTTGAACAAAGTGGTTGATGCCCCTTTCTACAATCACTTGAACAAAGAATTCCTTTGAAATCACAGAAACTGGCCGTATTCTACAACCATATTTCAGCATGGAGCCCTGCTGACCCTCCACTGCCCGCCCTTCACACAGCACAAGCGGAGTCTCGCTCTTCCAGCACCGAACAGTTGTTGCCATGGAGCCGCGGTATCTGGTTCTGCTGAGCCTGTAGTTGCATAAACTAGGTCCTCCAGTAGAGAGGTTAGAATAAGGGTACCAACTTTTTTCTGTGGTCTATTTTAGTGAGCCCTCCTCCAAACAAGGGTAAAAGGGCACTATTGAGGGACCTAGTAAATGCACTAGCTACGGTCCAAATGTAGCTGCATGGCTGTGACAGACTTGCAGCTGTCATTGCGTTCCTGGACGCAGTTGTTAGCTATGCACGGCTTCCTTTGTGCGTGCGCATTTGCAAATGCCCCCAACTCCCGCGAAAGGGCTCCTATTGATCTGCAAGGTTTCTGCTAGACCTGGTAGGACCACCAGAGCCCCGAAAAAATTGCCGTCCTGCACGCATGTGGGTCACGGCTTCTCGCCAGTGCTCCCACAGCGTGTAGGTCTCATCATAGCGGTTCACCTGAGCCGGACGAATGTGTCAAAACTTCAAAATAGAGATGGCTTTCAGAAATGGGCGGTGTTCCTCTTGGTTCCATAAAAACCAAAAAGGTACCCTCCAAAACACAAAACCAAGTTGGCCAGTTGCGAAGAATGGGGTCAGAGCTGTGCCTGAGAGAAAATGCTTTACGAAGTCTCTGGCTGTTCAATCCAAGTCCCAAAAGTGAAACCACTGGCACGGGGAACTCTTCGTAACCCAAGGGAAAGATGAAGGATGGGTGTTGCACAGGATTGGTACCGCACAAAATTGATGTGAAAATAGGCAAACACTTGCAAAATGGCGCCCGAGAAAAGGTGTTGCAGCAGTCAAGAGTCATTCGAGGTCCAAGAAACCTTACTCAAAAGAAAGTTTCTACTAACGGCAAATGCCCCCCCTTCGCACAAACATGTTGACTTCAGGTAACACACACACACACATACCAAAAAAAACATGTCTTCCCCAAAGAATTACAAGGTGCCACTCAAAAAAAGACAAACATAACGTGGAATCTCTTGAAACAAGAGGATCCCCAACAAAAGCTGTGGCCACCTGGCGGCTTTCCCGAAAGGGCGGCTGCTCCCACAGTGCCAAAACCCAACACCCACCAGAGAGAATGAAGGGGAGAGGCAGGTACCTGAGGGAAAAAATGCAACAGGTCTGGGTAGCTCGTCTTTTTTTAGGTTTCCCCAAAGAAAGGCTTCAGTGTGCCTTTTGGTTTCCTTTGGAAACCCAGAAGGGGGCAACCCCCGAAAAAGAATACACAAACACCGTCTGGGTGGGAAGGACCCCTTGCAAAAGGTGTTTCACTTGCGGGCCCAATCAAGGGCCGGCTGCTTCCCAAAAAGTTAAAGTCCAAAGACCCGTTACCAAATAGCCATAATCCTGGGAGATACAGGATGCATACTCGAGCATGTTGTTGACTTTCAGAAAATCCAGGAACTGAAGTATCATCCGACTTCCCAATCCAGTGTCTTGTCTTCATGCGAGGTTCACTGTGTAGGTCCTATCCAACGGATGTTTAGGCATTCCTTGAGAAGAAGACAGATCAGCCCTGGGTCCTGGGTGGGTGGGTTCTTCTGAAAATATGATCCACCTGGACACTCCCCCCCCCCCCGCAACAAGAAAAAAGCAAACGCCAGGCGGCATTCTGTAAGTCTGGCGGAAAAGGCTTGCTTTAAAATAACATCGCGACGCTGAGGGCCGTGCAAAGCAGCCCGGAGATTGCGATGGCATGACCTCAGCCAGGGTGCGCCTTTTTGTAGGGGAACCCCAAATGGATCCAAATGGTGGGTTTCCTTTTGGTTTCCCTTTAAACTCACAAACAGATGGGTGCCCGAAAAACAAAAAGACGCACTCGGAAAGACTTGGAGCCTACTACAGGGGCGTCAAACAGCTCTTGGGCCCTTTCCGGGGAACCCAACAAAAATGCCCTGAATCTTGACAACCTCCCAGGAGAAATGATCAAAAATGTGGTGGCTTCTCCTCAATCGAGCCTTGCTTCGCCGTAGGGCACTTCGCCTCACATTCTTTTCCGAACTACACGTGGCCGAGTGACCCCCAACAAAAAGGAGGGAATAGTTCGGCCGTCCAAATAGCGGACCCTGCTTTGGCACCCCAGCACACCCTTTTGGCGCATGCTCGGCGGGCCAGTTTTCTCGGGTCTCTTGACGAGCAGTCAGCTGAAACAAACAAACGAAAAAGAACCAGGCACAGGAGCCAGAACAAAAAGAGGTACCAGGACCTGCAAACTCACAAAAAAGGGAACTCGCCCCAGAAATTTGGGGCAATCACCAAACCTTTTCGGGAATTTTGAGGGTCCGGGTATGAAGATGACTATCCCAAGTTGTGGTCGTTGCAGATTCAAGCCGGCGATCTTAACCCTACCGCCCCAAAACCAAGTTGTTACACTCCTTACATTGACATATACAACCACTTGGGCTTTTTTTAACATACGGACTGCTAGAAAGAAAACCAGCCCTACTACGAGAAAGCCCACGTTACCTCCGCTTGAGTTTTGTCCATACTGATAGATTCCCTTTAAAACCAACAAATGAAAGGCTCAATTTGCAACTCAATCCGGGAACCAACTGGAAGAGTTTCCATGGCGACGTGCCGTTTGGAGAATAAAACAAACAACCAACAGCTGACAGAACCGCTCCACCAAAGACCCGAGCCGGCGCGGCGGTTTGGTCTGCCAAGGGAAAGGAAAGGAGAGAATTCCAATTTGGGGTTTGCATTTTCTTGAGGGTACCGGTATTTGAAAGGGAAACCAGCAGGGAACCACACATTTTGGGGGGTGCCCCTATGTGAAGACATAGATAGAATGGGGCTGTGGTGGACCTACCAAACCAAAGTCCTGATCATAAGAGAATATTTAAGGGATTTTGGGGGGTGCCCCTATGTTAAAACACAGATAGAACGGGGTTGTGGTGGACCTTGCAAACTAAGTGATGGTACTTAATATTTCTTAAGGGAACCGAAAAAATGGAGGGCGCCCCTATGTTAAGACATAGATAGAACGGGGTTGTGGTGGACAACTAAGTCATGGTACTTGATAGTTCTTCAGGGAACCGGGAAAAAAGACAAGGAAACAAACACATGTTGGAGGGTGCCCCTATGTTAAGACATAGATAGAATGGGCTTGTGGTGGACCTTGCAAACTAAGTCATGGTACTTGATAGTTTTTAAGGGA